TTGTTATACTGTGCTATAGTGTTTTATAGTGTATTTAGTGTTTAGGCCGTCAGCCAACGTGTACAACAGGGGGATTTACACCCAAGCAATTCCGTGCCGTAACTGTGTCCACCGCTATGTCACCCCAATCCAAGGTGGAACAGCATATGCCGAAGGATGCGTGTCAGAGGGGGCTCGGACACTAATATGCGAGCTCTGTGGAAACTGGAGAAGAGCAGCCTTTATTCTCATGAGGGTGGATCCATCGGCCCAAACCAACCCGGACCAGGCCGAGATCATAAAGTGGGCAAGGGAGATCCTGCCCGACTTCCAACCGGCAAATGCGGGTGTGAGGCTGGAGCCGAAGAAGCAAGCTGGGACAGATCGCGCAGAGTGTGAAAAGAAAAGATCAGAAGGAGGAGCCCGCCAGCGAAGACGAAAAAGGTCCAGCCGCAGCTGTGCAACCGCTCGTTCGCTGAGGTAACGAAAGAAAGCACCCTCATTGGAGTCCTGGACAAGGGATCCAAGGATGGGCTCATCCCCAAAGACCTTTGGCGACAGGTGATAAACAAATTGCATGGGCGCTTCATGGAGGAGATGTTGAATGTTGAAGAGCGGAGGGCCCCCACCAGAATGCGAAGACGGATTGTAGGATGGTATCAGGGTAGAGTCAAGATGATACCTTGCCAAGACGCGCGCTCGGTGGAGATGTACAAGCGAATGATAACCTCGCTTGGAGAAATCTACCCTGGGGCAAAGCTAGTGCTTACCCGACGCTTCCCAAGGCGGACTGGAGAGTCGCCAAGGTGAAGGAGGCGGTAGGACTGCGGAGACAGGTTCTCCTCACTCTGAACTTGAAGAGTCGGAAGGAGTATTCTCAACTGCTGGAGAATCCCAAGAATGTCTCTAACAATCTTACAGATAAACCTCCACAGTAAGCTTGCACCTCCTACTCCTCCTCGCCGAGAGAGGAGCTGATGTGGTCCTCATCCAGGAACCCTGGATGTTTGGAGACAGGATTCTTGGGTTGGGGACGTTGGATGTATCTCAATATATATGTAATATGTATCTCAGTTGGGCGATAAACAGATTCAAGCCCTTCAACTCTCCAGGCCCAGAAGGCATCTTCCCGGCACAATTAATCAAAGCCGGATCCAATCTGTGGTCATGGGTTAGGAAAATCTTTACAACAATTTTCAGAACAGGCATCGTTACCATAACGCGGTTGCGGACGAAGGCTGTCTTCATACCCAATACATCATCGCACTGCTCCCCTAAGGACTTTAGACCTATAATCCTATGGTGTTTCCTCCTCAAGACAATGGAGAGACTTATCAGCCTCCACATTAATCTTATCATCAATCCAGATGGCTTTTCGGACTCACAGCACGCGTGTGTGAAGGCCGATCCACGGAGACGCCACTCCACAAGATCACTATGTTCGTCGAAAAGGCACTTAGTTGTGAGAAATATGCGCTTATTGCTTTTCTAGACATAGAAGGCGCGTTCTTCAACATCCTGCCATGTTCGATAATCAATGCGCTGACGCGACTAGGGGTAGACGATCAATCTGTGCGTCTAATAAAGCAGATCCTGGTAAACAGGCCTGTTGAGGCGACACTAGGAGGAGAGTCTTTTCAAAGATACCGCAAGGATATGTACTCTCCCCCCTACTGTGGAACGTGGCGGTTAACAACCTACTACGATCCCTAGAAGGTGGTGGTAGCGAAGTTATTGCTTATGCGGATGATGTCGCAATCGCTTTCTCTGTAAAATTTCCGCACTCTCTATACGACCACATGACGGACGAACTGGGAGTTCTCTCAGCATGGGCAGTTAAGAACGGGCTAGGAGTAAATCCATCCAAGACCGAACTTGTCCTCTTCACTAGGAAGTACAAAATACCGAGTTTAGGGCTTCCAAAACTATCAGGGGAAACACTTACCCTCAGTGGCAACGCCAAGTACCTAGGAATAACGCTAGACAGGAAACTGGACTGGAAGCTAAACACTATGGATAGAGCAAACAAGGCGACTACCGCGCTCTATATCTGCCGCAAGGCCATTGAACTCAAATGGCGAATTTCTTTAAAAATAGTTAGATGGTTGCGGGAGTACGCGTAAAATTTTGACACAAACTTGATCTGCGCGGATACCATACGAGTCCTAGTTCCATATCGGATACTTTCATCTCTTATAATCTTCGAGATCTACGAGTTTTAATTTGTATAGGAAATGGTATATAAATTCTCATAAAAAATACCATTCATTACATCATAGTTTGATCATCCAGTTTCATCTGCCTGCAGAATAAAAAACTTATAACGTGCAATTATTTAATTCGCCTTTGTAATTTAGTGCGGATTAAAGTCATTGAAAAATTTCAATGACCAAACCGGTTTTTCAAAAAACCTTCTTGTACTGGCGCTACAGAAATTCATTATTTTTGGGTGAGGGGGAGGGAGGGGTATTGTAAGAGTTTAGCCTTGCCTTGGGAGCCTTGCCAAATCCTATAGCTCTATCTCTTATAAACTCTGAGATCCTCGCGTTCATACGGACAAACTGACGGACGGAAAGAAGGACATGGCTATATCGACTCGGATGTTGATGCTGATCAAGAATAAATATAGATCCGCCTTAAATCCGATTTGATCTGATCATAACTGCAAGGGTATATAAACTTTGGCTCCGCGCGAAGTTAACTTTCCTTTCTTGTTTTATGTTAAAAATTCGGAATCGGAATAATTGCCTTGAAACTTTCATCAGCTTCTAGATCGGCGTTCATTCTGGTTGACCAGTTTCTACAGGACCATCCTTGCGCTGCTGCGGTGCCCCGAACACCACAATTCGCCAGGGCATTCATCCAGGTTTCCTGTATCAGGATTTCAGTTAAGGAAAGACATTAAAATTAAAAAAAAAAATTTTTTTTTCGAATGTCTAGGGGAGTGCATTGGGGTCCTAATCGAATCGTCGGGAGTCTACTGTTCTACTAATCCCACTTTAAGAGACAGACGGTTACAGGACGTCGAGAAAACCTTTCCCCTTATGGCTGCACGCGGTATTGTTATGATTGCTTGTATTTAATTATTCTTACCATTATTTTTCAAGGTCCTTTTCATTGGAAGCTCTAAAATTGGGCGATCCAATCGAAGAGAAAAGAAGGCGGCTTCAAGATGGGACGACGGTCTATCGACATCGAAGAGGGTCAAGTGAAATAATTGTAGTTATTGAAACAAGAAAGCTGTATATCCGGAACTTATCTCTTCCATCCACAATTAACCTTTAAGGTTTAAGCTTTAACGGTATTAATTTTTAAGCATCAAATTTTTGTTGCATACTTTTACGCTTTGGCAAAAAAACAACTACATCCCCTACTTACGGCCACGGTTGCCATTCGAAAAAAATGTTTGTGTGCTGGTGGAACAGAAAATAATATGCATTTTTTTAAATAATATGTGTAAACATAAAATTATATGAAAAATTAAAATACTAGACCAAGCTTATTGAAAATGTTCCAATATGAAAACAAGTGATCCAATGTTCCAACGCATATAAAAAGTACCAGTTTTGGTACATTTGTACCAAAAGTGGCAACCGTGGATACTACTTCGTATGTAGAAAATTTGTCAAATAGAAGTAATTTCCAGTAAAATCCACGAAAATGACTTTGAAACTTTATGAGCTTTGAATAACTTTGAAGCTTAAATTAAGCTGTTTTAAGGACTGAAATCCAGCTTTTCTAGCGCGCCAATTGAAGTGCTAGAAAACGTTGTAAGAGCCTTTCAAAATTTGAATTTGAAACTTGTAAACCATAAATTTGAACAAAAAACCAGCTTGAAAGAGATCGAAATCGAACGAAACACAACGAAAATAATTGATTTAACCTGTTTAATTAATATAAATATTAATATTAATATTAATATTAATATATATATTATAAATTAACATATAAATATTAATATAAATGTTAATCAAAAGTTTCTCTTTAGGGGAGACTGAAGAGGTGGAGATGGAACTCTAAGCTTCGTGTAGAAACGACAACAGTGGTAAGATACTGGAAAGTCCTGGTTTCCTAGACACAGCCAATTTCCATACGATCCTCAAGGGGAGAGCTTTAACGATGCGGATCGATAACGAGCCCCTTGCAAAAATTGATTTTAACATTCAAAATTTATTTAAAAACATGGACGGCTATGGTCAAGTTTCCCGACGGTAACCGGTACTCAACTCTTTCATTCACACTCTAACTTAGATTAAAACTTTAAAATTTTTGACTCTCAGCAAAAAAAACCAGAAAGGAGGACTGTAGTCGAGTATTGTAACTATATTATACCCAGTACTCATCTACGAAAAATCCCCATTGTCGCCGGTTTTGCTCTCGCCAGGCACATCTAGTCGTCCATTATAGTCATCAAACTATGGAATCATAGTTACAACAACTCGCCCTGCGGGATGGTGTGATTTTACCCCGTACTCGTAGAGTAAAGTGTATGTACATATATGAGTGGTCGGCTGGGCCCTATTTTAGAGGCATAAGAAATTTCTTTCCCGGGCTCTTACGCACAGTATTAACGTATGAAACGTCATGATAATAAATTCTTTCAAATAAATTCAGAAATGCTATTTGGTGCACTAATTGGTGCACAAGTCATTTCCAAAATTCTCAAAGACTTATTATTTAAAACTTGCTACAGTTAAGTTGCTCCACTCATTTTGTTTTTTCCCAGTTTAAACACAGTATGTTAATATCCTAATTTTGACAGTACTAATTTAACAGTCTAACAGTAGTAATTTGAAGAAATAATTTCCGCTTAGTTACTTAAGAATTTTCGCACATTTATTGAAAATGTAAGGTATGTGTTGGGTCTACCTTGCTAACGCATTTCTTCTTCGAAGTCTCCACTGGATAAAAGCTCTACCTAAATCCCACCCCCGTCAGTCACAAAACTAAAATCGATGCCCCGACCGGTTCGCTCTTTGGAGCTTTCTGAAAGATTTTTTCTCGCTGCTCCTTTGGCGTGGGCCAAAACGCGAATGAACATCGACCGTGGAAGTTGACTGCTGAAGTACAAAGCGCTAGGCTGAAGGTGAATGGAAAAGAAAAAATTTCAGAGCCCCTCGAAAAAGCAAAAACCAACAGAAATTCGTTTGGAAAATGAAAAAGTACAGCAAGAAGCTCATCGTATAATTGCTAAATTCGAATAAATAACACCGTTTAAGTCCTTGCTAATGTTATATAAAAGAAAACAGCAACGAAAGCCCCAAAAAGTGTTGTGCGCGTGTGTATGTGGGTGTGGGTGTCTGTGTGCGTGCGTGTCAGTGTATTTGTACGAGTTAAGCACGCGTTGAAGAAAAGGAGAACATTTTTTGTGTATCAGAGTTTTTTCGCTGCGACTTTAGTTTAGAACGTCTAGTTAATGTCGTGAAAAAATGCTAGAAACGCAGGAAAATTGTAATTGAAAAATTTGAATGTTTAAAGGGAAAAAATGGAAGAGGCTGGGAAAACTTGTCTCTCGTAGAAAGTGAAATCGCATGTATGCCACTGCTCGGATATCGATTTTTCCATCGCACAGTGTTGGGGTGGTGATGTGGTCCAGCCGAGGAAGAAAGTTTTGAATGCAAAGTTCAACAAAAAACAACCCAATTAATTACTATTGAGCTTGAAAACACGAAACTAATTAAATTTTATCTAACGAGTTTTAAGCTTCTGTCTGTGCGGGAGAAAGAAAAAGAGACAAGTCGCGAGAGAAAAAAGAAACGGAGACGGCAAAGAAAGGACCGTAAGAAAATCTCTATCCTGAATTTGCTTCGGACAACGTCTTTCAGGGAAAAGCGAATTTGGCAGCCCCCCGCTTTCTCTGTCTCTATCCTATACACACACTCACTGAGGCTCACACATAACCTTTTCAGCAAAGAGACACAAACACCCACACACACCAAAGTTCGCTCTATCAATATTTACGCACACCATTATGTTTTGATATTACGTATACGCTCCGTGTCGCTCCCGCTCTCATTCTCTTCTTTTTTTTCTCCCTTTGTCTCTCAATCTCCGTTCGCGTCTCTTCCCCATTTTGCCCACTGCGTGTGATGCGAAATACAAAAAAACTAAATAAATAATTCGGCTGGCACAAAATTGATAAAAGGTACCCGGAATTCATGTGAGTCTAGCGAGCCGCGGCCTCACTAGCCAAGCCAGCCACACGACCAAAAAAGTCAGCAGGAGCAAAAGCATACTGCCCTCGAGACACACACACACGAAACAGTCCGTTGGGACCCACATCTTCATCCTTCCTGGTCCCGCAATCACGCTTCGTTTACCTCTGCTCTCCTATACAACTAATAAAGCCGATAACAACAGAAAAGACACGCGAACATTCGCGGAGGCTGCGAATATTGGCCACATTGTGTGATTAAAGGTGAGTTTCGCGTCTTAAAAAGATGAAGCATACTTATTTGGGCAACGTTCTAGAGTTTGTTCAGATTAATGATTTATGTATAATAGTACTTGGGCGCACACCAATTACTTGGTTCTTAATATATATATTTACCACGTATACAACTTCAAGAAATTGGGCATCCCCTTGTCTTAGTCTTATCCTAGCAAACCTTCATTAAGTCTCTTTTGACCATTAGCTTCAAACGGCGAGGAGTTGTAAAGTTCATTAGGGTTATGGCCGAAAGCCGCAATAAAAAGCACAGGAAACTGCACATAATGCCAATAATCGAGTTACAACCGAATACATACCGTCACAGAAGAGGAAGGGGAATCTATTGAGCCTTCAGCGTACTTTTGGGAATTTTTTGAAATTCGAAAACATGAATGAAACTTAACGTGACAACCAATATGACATTTACTTTGTTTATGCGATGCCGAATTCACGTTTTTATTTTACGAGTTCAGCCGATTTGTGTGTGCAAACGCCATTTCGTGAATTCGGCAAACCACGAATGTTGACTATGATTTCAGCCTCAAAGAATAAATTGGTGATGCGCCATCAACTTAACGCTATGAACATTCAGGTGGCAATGCGGCAGTAAATGCTGAAATTAAGAAAACACGCAAGCTGGCCCAACTTAACCACTTTGGAAGTGAATTTCCCGGTTCTTCTTTGCCGATTATAAATGAAGAATTGTGTCCCATAAACAGGGGTTATTTCTATATCACGGCTTCAAGAAATCGTAATTTCCATCGCATAAACATAGTAATAGTAGCAGATCAGCTCAGTTTCAGAAAAAAATGTTCATTCCTTGAAAGCGATACGATTGTTCAATGAAAGCGAAAAGCATAATGATGTAGAAAATTGTTTTTTCTTCTCGGGCATTCTTCATTCCTTCAGGAGAAGTGCGTCTTCAGCTCCGTCTAGTTTGGATGTCATCTAGGCGTTTTTTTTTTACTTTTTAAGGGTCTTTATTGTGTTGCCTTCTCTGGGTTATGTGCGCAGTAAAGGGAGAACAAGTGAGAGAAAATAATTTTGTTGCCTCTGTCGCTTTTTCTTTCTTTGCTTTTCCACTGCTCTCGTCAAGCTTTTACTCTCCGACTCGTCAAAGTTTAACCGTTTCCTGCTAGAGAGCTTTGTACAATAAATTGACGTCGAGAGCTAAGGACGAAGGTCTCTTCCCGAGTCTGAGTCGGATTCCGATTCAGATTTTTTATTCACCCGCATTACGTGCGTGGCCTCCCAGATGTTTAGGTGGTGTAGTATCCTATTTTGTTATTATTTACTTTGCTTTGGACTAGCTAAGTTTTTTGTGTCCAACCCATTTGATGGCTAATGGCATAGACATTCCTTGTATCCTCCTACATTCACAATATTAATTTGTTTTGACAACTTGATTGTCAGTTACTTTCAGACGCGCTTAACTCAGCTCAACCCTTGTGGCAGCTGGGCAATGTTTTGCGCTGCGAAATTATCTTATCTTTCAGTCAATTTAGATAGTCGGGAGTTCGGGGATTATTTTCAGAAATATCTACCATTGTTTCTGTCCCTGCAATTCGCCACCAACCCATAATCATTATGAGGTCTATTTATAGCTGTTGCGGCGAAGCCCAAAGTTTACAAATCGGACATGAACAGTACCCATGAATAGTAACAGCGATATACCATAATATGCCACACTGGGAGGAGTATGCCACTAAAGTATTTTCGTAAAAACATAATAGATTCCATTTTTTTTTTTGTTTTTAGTCAATATAACATTTTCTTATAAAAATAAACTAATTTTGTTGTTCTGTAAATTATTACATTACCAAATATGTATTAGTATGCAAATTGTTCTTTGGAATGGGCAACCAAATGATACTAAGTTGTGTAAGATCGATAAGTCTGGTAGCCACAATGTCTAACCTGCTGAAACCTGCTGAAAATATTTTGACGTCAATTGTGTTCTCACAACAAACTCACTGACCAGCTTTCAAACCCAAAAATATGGCAATAACATCCATGGGCAGCAGCTGTTTAGGCCGCAAGGGGAATTTCGCTATTTCACGCGAGACCATCTAAACTGCGTAACTTGCTTTTTCGCCAGTTTTTCGGGCAAGACAAGATGGCGCCGCGGAGCACTCACCCGTTGACCTACAACAAATGCTGGCAGAATGACAGAACCTCATACTACATTTCGACCTTCGTTTATTTTCCTCGGCAGTTGCACATCTTGTCCTTATTAGCCTGCCAAATACAGGTGCTTTCATGGAGGAACATTATTTAGCTGGAGACTTTTGGTGCATTAATAAAAAATGACGAGAAAAGTGCTTTGGCTTTTGGCCCGAGCTCCTTCCTGTTTGGGATCACCATTTCGCGAGCCTCTGGAGGTGTTTCTGATTATTCTGTGTGCGTTTATTCCGGAAAGCAGGTTGACCTGTTTAGTGTTTGTCCGTTTGTCCGTTGTCCACAGCTATCGAGGGCCAACTCTATTTTCCAGAAAACCAGACAGGACTCGTGACCCTCCCTCGTTTGCTATTTTTTATTGATTTGTCCCCAGGTTATCTGCCCGGTTTCTTTCCATAAAGTCATTTGCAAGAAGCCTTTTGTAGCACAAGTTGTCCTAGAGGCATTTAAATTTATTGATTTTATGGATGTTTTTTATTTTTCAGCTCAAAAAGTGGTAGAATGTTCCCATTATTCTTACCACTTCCCATAACACTAACACCCATAACAATAGACTCGACTTTTTTATTCATTCAACATTATTCAAGAAATAATAAGTTGATGTGTTTGATATATTGTTCAAGTTCAATTTTGACACAATGGATTTACTATATTCAAAACCAATTCTAATATTACTTAGCACTCCATAACTCTTAGAGACGATAAAAAAATCCGCTAATCGTTTGGCTGATTAAATGACAATCTCCCAAGAAACAGTTTCAAGCACTTAATTTTCCGAAAATTTTGTTCAAAATTTGAATTATAAGCATGTTTATGAAGCCAAATAAAACCAAAGCCAAGTAGACCTGCCTACGGGCTTTCTACATAAGAGGTTCTCGAACAGTTCTTTCATTCTTTGTGTTTGTGTGTGGGTAGGGTAGGAAGTCCTTTGACGTCATTGGCGAAGAAGTATACCGAGTGGACGGCTTTTACAAATTATCTTTCCCTATAGCAGCTTTATGAAAACCAAGTGCAGCTTAATAAGATTCGTCGAACAGCTTTATTTGGTCTGATAATAATTTATAAAGTAAGGTGACTATTGCTTTTCAAAAATAAAAATTCAGAGAATAATTTCATTCAAAAAAGTCTCTAGGGGAATATTATAATAAAAAATATTATTTCTTTAGTGGAATATTAAGTTAAATAACCTTATTTATTTATTTATTAATTTATAATTACTTAATTTTACAAGATTCTACAAAAAAAGTAACTTCTTTTGGATTTTCGCCGCCTTACATATGTCACTTAATTTCTGATGGGTCAAGAAACGGAATATTTCAGCTAGACTTCAGAGATCGAAGGCCTCTCTCTTCAAAGAGTCATCTGCTTGTCCGGGAGTACGGCTTATTGTCAATCAACGAGATATTAATATTCATACTCATAATTAAACAAGAGTACAGGTCCCGGGAGTCCGTCTCCCAGCAATAAGATTTCAGGGTCACAGGATGTCTGACAGCGCAAAAAACGACAACGAAACCAACCCTGCTGAGGAAAACCCAACTTAGGCAGACTTCTTCGTTCATAATTAATGCAACTCAAGTTGTTAAATTAAATGAAACGCCTCTTCGAACCAAGAAGTAAAATATGGGAAATTTCAAAATAAAGGAAGAAAGGAAAATGGGACTACAAAGCAGAAGGAAAGCGGGGAAAGATGGGTGGTGTTAATATTAATGAATTAAATTACGAAGAAAAGGAGAAAACAAGAAAGGAAAGCTAACTTGCAGTTAAAGGAATATACCCTTGCAGCTAAAACCGGATATATGTCGCAAACATCGGATATAGTTGACCGATTCTGATGAGAGTATCATAATATAACCAATTTATTACAATACAACATCTAAAAAAAAGTCCCAAGCTTCTATCTTCAAAAATACTAAAGTTTTTATTTTTATCAAATACCATTTCCAATCGTTCAGTTACATGGCCGCTATAAGATATAATCGGCCGACCGACTAGTTCGGATCAACAGAGACAAATAGAGTCTGTACGAACTTCCAACTTTCTATCTTCAAAAACACGAAAGTTGAGTTATTTCCGATATTTCAGTTATGTATATGACAGCTATAGGATATTGGCGGCCGATCCTTTGGTGGGTCATATTGATTTACCAAATAAAGAATCCATAGAAACTCATCTTTCTAACTCTAAAAACACCAAAGTTATGGCATTTCCTATCAATCAGTTATATGGCAGCTATAAGATATAGTCGGCCGATCCCGGTCGTTCCGACTTATATACATACGTACTGCGTGCAAAGGAAATAAGGATTTTTTGCTTGAATCCGAAAGCTTCAGAGGACGGGGAGCTCTATAAGCGTATTCTTCTAAGGGATATGTGGGAGTGGATGAGGACGAGGAGGACTACTGGAGTGGGTGCGTGCCCTTGGCTTGCAAGCCATAAGCCCTTTTACTTGGTGCGTTACACCACCTACCCTCCTAAAAACGGAAAACTGCTTATTTCAGTTGGCGCCGTCAGCGCATTTCTAGAGCTTCAAGGATACGAGTGTAGAAAAAAGTAACTAATGACTTTTGCGGGACTTCTTTGAGGCTACAATGAGTTTCCAGTTATTTTTAAGACAACGGCAGCCTGGAAATTAATCGCAACTGTCCATTTTGTCCCAAAAAGTTAAACTTAAAATTAAACTTATCTAAAATGAATGCGTCTATCATATTATTCCAATAAATTCATTTTCTTAAAAATTAGAATCAGCCACATATTTCTTATTTAAAAATTGTATATAGAAGATCCAAGTTACTGAACTATACAATTTTGCAGCAAAAACCACAAAGCAACAAAATGCCGCCAAATTCTAAGTCCGAAACAGACGCCCAACCGGCAGCGGAACCAGCGCCAGCCTCCGAGCCGGCAGCGGAACTGGAGTCCGTGGACCAGAAGCTTCAAGAAACACATCACTCAAAGTTCCGTGAGGTGGACCGGCAGGAACAGGAAGCCTTGGCTGAAAAGGCGGCGGAAGCGGCCAGTCAAAGAATCGCACAGGTGGAAACAACAACACGGAGTTCAACCACAGAGGCTCAGGGTGAGAAAACTTGAGTAATTTTGGTCAAAAGTGTGCAACGCACTAACGGAGACATTTCTGACCCTATAAAGTATATATATTCTTGATCAGGATCACCTCCTGAGCTGATATAAGAATGTCCGTCTGTCTGTCCGTCTGTGTGTTTCTATGCGAACTAGAAAAATCAGTTTTAAAGCTTTTCTTTGCTCGCATACATAAGTCGGAACGGCTATAACCTATATATAACCTTAATATCCTATATACCTATCCTATATCCTATAGCTGCCTTAACGATCGAAAATGATCGACTTTCGTGTTTCGTGTTTTGGAACTTCGATCAGATTCAATTTTTGGTCAATTAATCTGACCTACCATGTTTTGTAAGGATCGGCCGTCTATATCGTATATCTGCCATATAACTGAACAGTCGGAAATCCAACTTTAGTATTTTTGAAGATTTTATTCTAATTTTAACTTTTTATTCTAATGCATTTTTTTTATTATGATATTCTCATAAGGATCGGCCAATCCGATATTTGCGGTATTGATATAATTGATATTGTGATCCATTTTAGACACTACAACCACGTCGTTGCCGGTGATTAAAAAGATCGAACATGCCGGCGAAATTGTGACCGAAGCGATCGCCGAGCGCACGGGACTGCCCACATGGGGCGTGGTCGCCATAATTATCCTCGTGTTCCTGGTCGTCTTTGGTATCATCTTCTTCTGTGTGCGGAGATTCCTGAAGAAGCGAAGAACCAAAGATGGAAAGGGTAAGAAGGGTGTCGACATGAAGTCGGTACAGTTGTTGGGATCGGCGTACAAAGAGAAAGTAAGTGTCTGACGCGCCATTAAATCGTAGTAGTTATTGGGTTCTGGTATGCCATAGGTTCAGCCTGATATGGAGGAACTTACTGAGAATGCCGAAGAGGGTGACGAGGAGGACAAACAGAGCGAACAGAAGCTTGGCCGTCTCAACTTCAAGGTGGGTTAACTAATACTTGGAACCATTCGGAAAGACCGAAAGACCAAACAAAAGTCCCTACTAACCTCCCAAAATACAATACTAAGCAAACGAAACTCAGATAGATGTAATTGTGTGCAAAGTTGGTGTTGTTGACATGGAACACAAACACTGTCAGTGATGAATACCAATACTCAACAATAGTCAATAAATGTTGTTGCTCCAGCTTCAAGGCTTTATAAACAAAGTAACATATAACATAAAATTCTCATGCACTAGGCTCTATTCTTTTCACCTGTTATTCGTATGTATCTATGTATATGCTGTACTTAAGGATATTTCCCAATGCAATGACACCAACACCACATTAACCCACAAAGTAAAAGCTCTAATATATCCTTTTACTAATATGTAATCCCTTTTCGTCTCTCCCCTGGCCAAACGAAATACCCGCTTTTGTTCCTCTTTGAATTTGTACTTTGCAGCTGGAATACGACTTCAATTCCAACAGTCTGGCTGTGACGGTTATCCAAGCCGAGGAGCTGCCTGCCCTGGACATGGGCGGCACCTCTGATCCCTATGTCAAGGTCTACTTGCTGCCCGACAAGAAGAAGAAGTTTGAGACCAAAGTGCACCGAAAGACGCTCAGTCCGGTCTTCAACGAAACCTTTACCTTCAAGGTAAATTGCCAAATAAAATTTTGACTCTGGGCTGTTCAGAGAAGCAGCTCAAAATATAACAGAATGAAAAAAGACCTTCATTAAAATATAATATAATCTTGCTTTTTGGCGCAGAGTCTACCCTATGCCGATGCCATGAACAAGACGCTCGTGTTTGCCATTTTTGACTTCGACCGCTTCTCGAAGCACGACCAGATCGGAGAAGTAAAGGTGCCCCTGTGCACCATCGACCTGGCCCAGACAATCGAGGAGTGGCGGGACCTGGTCAGCGTTGAAGGGGAAGGCGGACAGGTATGTGGACCGGGGCGGGGTCCCAGCGGGATCGAAGGGAACTACTTTCTACCTGTTCGTATCTATCTTCGTATCCAAACAATCTCTCTCTCTCTCTCTCTGTCTACTTAATTGTATACCACAAAGTGGTTCTAAGTGTTTTTTTATGTCCCCAACTCCAAAACCGTTTTTGGAATATGCCAATCTTGTAGTTTATTTTGCATTTAGTTACCTTTGCTCCCCCTCATTGAGCCAAGAGCCCACACTGAAAACGTGTGAAGTCCGTTGACTTTCGTAAATCTCGGCCCAACAAGGATGATTGTGCTTTGTGTGTATTTCGCATTCGAACATCAGCAATGACCAAAAGCCGACAATACGACAGAAACCAATCATGGCCTTATGATACCCAAAAGAGTATCTTATAATTAATATTCCCCCCTAACACCCCGCCCAATCAAAGACCTACTATATTTGTATATACATACCTATAAGGGCAGAACCAAGACAATTACAATGAAACTCTCCAGATACAATAACAAATATCCACAAGCCATGCAAGTTTCGTGGAACAGACAAGCAAAAGTTTTTCGAATCGTTATCTTTTTTTCGAATACCTCGAACCTTTTACGAAACTCTTACACACCCAGTTCAAAATGCAAATATAAATAGTATCCAAAATTTATTATTATATAATAAGTCATACTCAGCAGACACAAATGTGAACTATGGAGAATCGAAGTCTGAAAGGAATTTGTTTCTCCCGAAAACTCTTGACAGAATTATAATTTGACACAACTACTACTACTACAAAAAATAAAACTTTAAATTTCTCTTTCTCCAATCCCCCTCTGAAACAAACCAAACAATTGATTTCGAAACATATATACTCTTGATTTCTTGAACTTTTGTAGAAGGTAAATACGAAACATTCTTAAAATCTAACAAACCAAAAACAAAGAGAACACCATTGCATACAAGTTTCAGTTTATGATTTTTCCTCTTTATAACCTAATCTCTCTGTGAACTGTCGCTCTTGTACAACAACATTTTCGTTAAGCTACTTAAATATTTGCATATAACAAAAACTAAAGTCATTTTATCCGAACTAACCTACTTAGTCCTCCTTTCTTTCTATCGATAATCATACGAGTTGGTCCTGAGCGATAGTTCTACGACTTTTTCTGTCTCCCTATACTTAATATTTGCATAGATAATACCAATATAATGTTATGTCTGCATTCTTTCTCGCATCATAAATATTGTAGTTGAATTTTTGTATTAATATGAAAGATTTATCTGTTTTGGGCTGTCTTGTTAGCAACAATTATTAACGAAAGAAAAGCATTTCTTGACAAATGTTTTCACATTTCCATATGCAAACAATCACACTGCAATATTAATTTGTTGAGAAAACTGCGGCATACGAGGTGCAAAACTCAGTCAGCATGGTTGCGTGTCCTTTCACACAAATAATACAATTCTAGCCTTGACCGACTTACAAAATTTTCTTGCCTCCTGCGGGCTACACTCCTTGCGCTTCACAGACTAAGTATATGACCATGCTGATCCATTAATCAATTGCTGACTCTATATCCTCGCCCCTCTATCTAGTCCCAATTTTTTGTTTGCACTTTGATTGGAACAATTGACGTCGAAATACTAAAAACTTTTGCATAACTCTCTTAAAGTAGTAATCAACTATTGCACCCCAGTTCTTTGCATAAAGTCTGTCAAACTTTTACTCAAAAACACTCGAAACACCCACTCTCAAATACACTCAGCTCAAAACGCACACACCTGTATTCCTTGAAATAACCTATCTGACTAAACCAATTTTGTAAGATATTTGTATTGATTTCATTGAATTGGTCAAAGAATAATGCTCTGGATGCTGAATATATCTAAAGCGGATACACACACACACACACCCACACAGACGTTTATAGAGATGATCCACAACACAACTCAACAAGAACCCACTCAAATACACTGAACACAATTTCAGAATCGGAATGGTTAATAAATTCGCCTTCGAATGCCATGAAAATAAATTCTTGTTCAGAATGTTTGTTTTCGGTGAACCAGAAACTCTTTACACTAACGGTAACACCAAATGGCCTTCATATTCGATTAAACCTGTAACCTTTTAATTCCTTTAAAAGGAAATCAAGTTCAGCCAATGTATAAAATTCCACCTCAAAGCAGTATTTTCTGACCACTTTAGTTAGCAAGGAAAAACCCCAAAAAAAATTGTATCTTATTAACTACCAATAATTATTTACAAATAGACTAGAAACACAAAAATATACTAGTTCCTGATTTCTACTCAATTGCATGTTTTACTTTTGCTTACGAATTTAAGCTTATATATAAAAATCACAATTAAAACTTTTAATCTCCAACAAAATGACACTGGCATAGAACACAGACATACGACCATCAATTGGTTACAAGAAACAACAATAACATTATATTTTTGAAATTTGTCAAAGTAACATATATCGAAATTTTACTGGAAATGGAATTCAAAAAGTTTTTAATATACTCTTCATTTTTCTCTTTAATTGTTTTTGAACGTATCGCTAAAAACCAAACCAAAACCAAAAAAAATCCAAATCTGTAATCACAAAATTCGAAAACTCAAAATTTTCAAAACTGTACTTGAAATTTATGACTCATGCCATGGGAACTCAATCCGAACCTGAATCATGTCAATCAAATGCAAACACGTAAGTAAATGAAATCAGAAAAAGAGAAAGTATTCATAATTATCGTTATTTGCTTTGGTTGTTCTCGTCATAAGTGTGTTCAAAGTTCTGTTTGTTGTGTTTGTGTTACGATTATGTTAAACCAGCAAAAGTAAATGTTTTCGAATCGAGAGCCAAAACATTGGTGTCGGAGTTCGAAACATAATTAATATATTATATTAATTGAACTAAATGCTTTTTAGGTCTTATGTTTTTTCGCCTCTGTCACTGTCTCGCTATATGTATACTGTAATTTGTTATGTTTTGCATAATTGTGTGCTGTAATGTGTAAGCAGAGCTTCGATGGCAGTCAAATACAGAAACATTGCTCAATAATCTTGTTTTTCGATTTATATTACTTTTATTTAAATTAATAAATTACATTTATTTTTATTGATGTTACAAACACTTTGGTTTCCATTAGAAATTCACCAAGCATTTAACAAAGAATATCTTAAAGGCCATGAAAACCTAAACGAAAGAAATTGTAGAACTTGAATTCAATTCAAAGACACAAATATTAAAAACAAAATAACCCACAGTTGCGGTAAGTGACTCCGAATATAGAACTCTACAAACTTTCTAACGCTCGCTCGCTCTCTGTCTGTCTCGCTCGCTCTCTATATCTGTCTTGACATTTTAACTAATTTAATAACACACCACCACACTTCCTTATAGTTGATAACCTTGTCGAACAAAAGACTAAATTTGCCTGCCTAGGTTAGTTTGACCCTTGGAAAAGTGTTTGAGGAATTGGCCAAGGATTGACTGCGTGATAATGCAACAAAAAAAATTAATTTTAAAAAGGAAAATAAACAACCCATAGACTACAAGTGGTTTGAACCAGCCTAGGGTTTTGTATTACAAAAAAATAACATGAACTATATAATTACTAAGTAACTTAGCTAGATTTTTCATTTGTAAAATATTTCCTTTTCTGCCATTCATGTACATACTAAATGAATATCTATAGTTCTTTCTTATTATAGTAAGTGCATTTTTATTCCTCCAACTAAATTGTCAGATAGCTCGGAAATTATTTTCTATATTATACATTAAAACGGTTCAACCCTGCTTGACTTCTTATCTCTGAATCCTCGTCTTCTGTTCTCATACGAATAGTTTCTAAGAAAATTTTTGAAACCAATATTTTGCATTTTGTGCGGTCGGTTTTGAGCTGGGTGTTTTTAAGAACCAAAGAAACATAGACCAAACTAAACCATATAAATTAAATAAATCCAAGGTAACAATACGTTAGTTTTGGTATGGCTAAAATAATATAACAATAATAAAAACATACAAAATAAATACGCCCCTAATACGACAAAACACTTCAACAATATTAATGAATTTGATTTTCAGTTCAATAGTTTTTATTGTTTCTTAAATTTTTGGTTAAATATACTCTGGTCTGGATATACATTCATAGGTACATACTATATATGGTTACACGTACAAAATCGAAGCTCTAAGACGTGCAGTAAATGTGTTAAGTGTACTTTTTGTGGTGTTTTCGTTATGTGTCATTGCAAAAAATGAACCAAAGTTACCCAATTGATAACCAATACTGTACTGCTTATCTCAAACCCGACAAACCTAAAGAAGGAAACCTATTACCACTTTGTCATATACAAAGTTTTTTCTTTTTCCTTATTTAACACGTATAATCATCTGTCTCAATGTGTTTTAAAATTATCTTTTGTTCGTATTTATACTTGTAATTCTGTATAACTGTATAACTCGTTTTTTGTTAGTTGGTAATTAAAACAAATAGACTTACTAATTATACATACTGGTCGATGTTACTATTCTATTTGCCTTTATGTTATTTTTGAAGACCTTTGAACTATTTTCAAATATAATTTTTTCGATTTTAAAGTACTTCTTCTGAATAAGAAGAAGAGATTTAATAAAAGCCCGTAAAAAGATTTTAGTTTTGAAAATGCTTACAATTCTTTTATATATGTTCGCTGAGATGATAAAAATAAAAGAATATATATGCATAATTTTTTACACACTGGAGTTATTGATCAATTAAGTTACTCCTAATGTTCTTAACATATCTTCGAACTCAAAAACGAGGACTTCGCCTTCGGGATAATACAATCGAAATTACGACCAATAAATGTTGACTAATTAATTTATTGAAACTATAAACCTTAAAAACCTATATATTTTTAAATGGATATGTATGTCAATGTACCAATAGTTATTATGTAAAATGTTGTATGATGCAGAGTTATACGAAAAATGTGGCAAATGATACTGATGATCCGTCTCTTTGATTGTATTTGAAAACAGGAAAAGCTTGGGGACATCTGCTTCTCACTGCGATACGTGCCGACTGCCGGAAAGCTAACCGTTGTCATCCTGGAGGCCAAGAACCTTAAGAAGATGGACGTGGGCGGATTGTCTGGTAATGTGGCATTGTACCAACGCGCTGGAAGGATCACTTCCACGGGACATTAGTTGCTATTTTGTGTCCTTAGGCGATCCTTCCGGCGTTTCCCTAGCTTTCTGTGTGTGTAATTAGCTAAGAGTGTGCATTGAGTTTATTTTCATTTTGGTTTTTTGCATTAAATTTTGTTAAGTTTGAATACAAACTTATTCAGGACTAGGCAAGCGCAAGGCAACGTTTGCTAACCAAATAAACCAGAGCAACTTTTATTCAAACTACTTTTTGTCAACTTTTCTCAAACTATCAACTAGCGCCAAAGTATCACACTTGCATTTTTATCGTATTATCCTGATTCGCGTACGCTAAAGATTGAACTAAAATTTAAATCATTTTCTCTCAAACCAATCTCGATAGCTATGGATATATTTATCGTCCGGCAACGTTTCCATCCCGAAACCCTCGCACAGTTTTAACTTATGCCTGGCCGACAAAAGATTCGACAAATTATTAAACGCTATTCGCCAAAACTTTTTGCGAAAATAACGTAACTCTCGCTTGCTTTAGCTTCACTTTTGCATGTATTCTGTATAATACATTGTTTATTATCTTACAACTATACACATCATTTTGGGCCGATCAGTTTATTCCTGAGAGGATCCCTGAGAAAGCGTTGCCGCTGAATATATCCAACCCAATTTAAAGTTCTTCTAGGCTTTTACAAACAACAGAACATTTTCCAAAATAAATTTTAACGTTCCGACCTTTTTGGTAATGATACCGAGATGTCATTTGGTTCTTTAAGTTTCAATCAATCACATTCGTATGCCTTGAGTTGATAGAGTTGCTGTGTGTAATTGATTTAAATATTCAAGAAAATAAGCCGAGGAAAATTAATAGTTAAAATTGAATAGGCATTTACACCTTGGCCTGCTTTCTTGTTTTATGGCCGTTTGTTTTACTTTATTTTGTGTTAGCAAAGTAAAAATTAAAATATATTCTACGATTATACACATTAAAGAGGTATTTCAATAATTTTAATCAGTGTTTTAATATGTGTGCATTAAGAACAAAAATTAAGATTCGTTTATGTGATTGCGCCAAAAAAAAAAATTTTACTTTCTTATAAAAACAAAAAATATTTTCTTTTTCTTTCTTTCGATTCTTTCCTATATTATAGATCCATATGTGAAAATTGCAATCATGCAAAATGGCAAACGTTTGAAAAAGAAGAAGACAAGTATCAAAAAATGCACCCTCAACCCTTACTATAATGAGTCGTTCTCATTTGAAGTACCATTTGAACAAATACAAGTATGCGAGAATGTATTATACTATCCTATAAAAATACCAAAACTACTACTACTCTACTACCTACTACTAATACTACTACTGTTATTACTGTTACTGTCCTCTTCTGAACTATCTACCAAAAAAACCAAGCCAAACCGAGTTTTGAGTACCCAACCTTCCTATCAACACATACTAGTAGCCTACTTAAGTGCAATTCTTGTTACCAACCAATCTAAGACATATACATATACAGTATATATATAAATCCATATGTTGAATACTCGTCTTCCGAACCAAGAGACAACAACAGTGTTGTTACAACACCTAACTCTGAACCAAACAGCTGAACACTTTAGCGACAAATCTTCGTATTACCCATAAAAAACTTAAACTATCCTCCCAAAAACAAAACTATCTTAACCAATCTTTGTGTTCTATAAAATCCAAAAGCAACAAATTATTCAATGTTAAATGTTGTAATTTACAATATTACCAAAAATTTTGTATCTTTTTCGTTTGTTTAAAAGTCTTTGTTTTAGATTGTAAATATTCTGAAATACTTTATTTGCCTTGATTTGTGTAGTTTTGACAAATTACTTGAGTTTGAGTTTTTACCAGCCTCGATGTGTGCTTAGCCAAGCTAATTTTTTAAAGTTTTAGTTGTTAAATGTGTAAATTAAACGACCAATCCGGCAAAAGAGAAAGGAGGCATGTCGTAGGCCTAGGCTCCTGCAATCTCGGGCGTTCTAGACGCCCCCACACAAAGATACGTAATTATTGCCACTGAATGGAGAGCAAGCCGTAGTGTTTTCGCTTCGCTCGCAAGCGATCAAGTCCCAAAGCAAAAGAAAGCAAAAAACAAAGCATAAAAGCAGGCGCGCAGCAAAGCACCAGCATAATACACACTCCTTTTCTCACTCCAAAGATCGACAGCAGTGAATACTCCAATTACTCTTATTCGAATAACAAACTCAAACCTAAGCTCAAACTAAACTCTTTCATAATACAAACTATCGCAAACTCCTAACCAGCGGCGTCAATAATGCACCACGCAACAACCGAATCGCAGTGGGTACATTATTTTGACACTGTCTTCTGATTTGAATATCGAATACCAATCGCACCACAACAGCTACAGTACAGAATACAGTAAACACAGAATAAATAACTACAGAATATATAAATGTGTCACCACAGAGAAGTATAGCGTATCACCATTGAAACTCAGCATTGACCCAACATCTACACGTCAAACTTAATCTGGAAACGGGGAGAACTATGTTACGGTTACGTTACGTGTGCTAGTTGAAGAATTAAAAATCATTTATAAGTAGGACCCCCCTTGCTGACCAAAACAAAATACGACAAATGGGATTGAATATTATACATTTTCGTTTACACGTATTTAATGAACATATTTCTTTTTGCCACAGCTTAAGTGAACTGCAAACAAATATAAAGAAAAGTAATTTGTTCATTAGTCTCCGATGTTAAAAGACAATATATACATTTATCTTTCTAGCCATCGTATTCAGTTTATTCTCACCTTATGCTACCCCTTAAGCTATTCGCTTTTTTTTAAATATTCTTCGAGGTTTTTTTTATGTTAAGCTGCTCATCTTTTTAGCTTTAGACATTGCATGTTCTGCTTGTTAACTCACCAAAAAACTGTATCAAAAATAATAATGTTCCTTATCAAGCATATAAGGTGCTTAATCTAATGCTTGAACTCCCGTTAAAATATCTTAAATGTTAAAATATCCAAAGAAAACCAGCTTGTTACTTATATGTATTTATCCAACCCGATAGACCTAATGGTCCACCAACCAATCTCAACGATTGAATATTATGTACATAGTTGGCACGTCGAATCCCCCAAACTTACAGCACCCACATGCCAAAATAAAGTAATCCACTTTGAGACTCAAACCTCTGTGTATAAACTGCTTCCCAAAACAGCGTTCTTAGTATGACTGCCTGTTAACGAAACAAACCGTTCTCGATTCTAACCCAATAATAATGGAACTAAAACAGAACACGTATATTGAAATACTGAAAAGTTCTTCTACTCAAAAGCAAGAATCCCTTATCCCCCAAAAAAATAAGAAAAATAAATAAACAGACCGATAATGAACATTTGATAAAATGATTAATCTTTGTCACTAATGCCGCTGAATTTTCATCACCTCTTTCCTTAAAAAAAAAACTTCGCAGAAAATATGTCTTGTTGTAACCGTCGTGGACTACGATCGTATCGGCACATCCGAGCCAATTGGCCGGTGCATCCTTGGTTGTATGGGGACTGGAACCGAGCTCCGCCATTGGTCCGACATGTTGGCCTCACCCCGCCGGCCCATCGCCCAATGGCACACCCTCAAGGACCCCGAAGAGACCGACGAGATCCTGAAGAACATGAAATAAGGAGCTACCAAAATAACAGGATAACAAAGCCAGGTGAGCATAGGTGATGAATATGTTTATAGAGTCGAGGTTGGGGCGTGCTTACTTCAAATGTTACTAACATGTTTTAACATAGCATTATTTTTTTAAAGTTCTTACAAATTTTACGATTCATAGTCAAAGTTGAACTAAGTTTACTATGGATGAAAACAAAAATAAATGCGTAACTACTACAGTTTTTACTGACGGATTTATTGCAGCTCTGCTTACAAGAATGACCTAAAAAGTACTCGTAACATGACATTTTGATCAATAGACCATTTTATGTATATATCATTTTCACAATAATTACTTAAAAGATTTTATTCGTTCGTTATTCTTTTAAGACTGGCGAGTGGAAATCTTCTTATTCGTCACTGGTAATCCATATTTATTGATCTTGTATCGTGAACGGATATTATATATAAATACTTGGTTTCGCCCTCGGAACACCCCTTTATTTTGGGTAAAATTCTGCAGTGAATAATTCTGCTAATTATTGAAAACATTGAAACTTTAAAAAACACTTAATAAAAATTCCAAGCAGTGATTGAAAAATGTTTTACTAGCGAGGTCCAAATTCCCCAAGTTATTTTTGAACATTGATAACCTATTGCACAGTGTGACCCAAAAAGGTGAAGAAACTTTTAAAGTGACAAACTAGTAGGAATTTTTTATCAGGTCGAATATAGCACAAAGCCGTGTTTGAAATTTGTTATACCTTCAAAATCTTAATTTATTCAGAAAAAATAGTTTTTCGGGACTTTTATGCGCTTTAAAATTCCTCGATTCATTCGGCTCATTCCTCGAAAATCGATTTTAAATTCGACGTGATAAACAATTCTACTACGTTTCTTTACAAGTTCCAATGTTGCACTGTGTTGTTCATTAATGCAAAATTACTGTAAATTAAAATTACTATTATTCTCTTTAATTGCAGACTTACAGTACATCTATCAAACGTATAAAAGTAACCAAAGAAAATTTATGTGAGCCGTCAAACACAGAAATCGAATGCATTATCATCAACTGATCCTCCTTACCCGGAACGACAAGCAACAATCAGCGAAATATCGTAGTTAAAGCCAATTGTTCATTTATGCAGTTATCCTCGTAAAAAAAAACATAAAAACGATTACAACATACCTTTAGGTATCTGAGTTATATCTGAGTTATTGGTTGAACAACAAATCGAAAACTTCCACAAAATTTATAGGAATTTTCGAAAGTTTAATCGCTGAACAGTTATCCGTAAAAATTTCAATTGATTTTCCATCTAATCGTACAAAAGTTCTATTTAAGATCAATAAATTCGTTGTTATCGCAAAATAAGGATTTCAAAATCACTATTAAAATCTCTGTATACTCAATCTATCAACAAATTTAACGAAATTTTCTTAAATATGTGTCCGAAGAAAACAACAATAATTTTTAAATGTTACTTTTTTTTAAATTTTAAATTAGTCTAAATGAGAAGGAAATCTTATTATTATGCAGTATTGTTTTATTTTTGTTCAGTTGTTGAAGGATTACTAGAGGATAATACTACTGACTATGGAATAGTTAAAAGAAGAAAATAACGCAAAGGTATCATACACTGTTATGTAAATTTTGTATTATGTTTAAACTATGGAAAAATTTGAAGTATCTGTGTAAGTATATTTGAATGAATATTTAAATGATTTAAAAGTGACAGCCATATTAACAGGAGGAAGGAATAAAAAACAAAAGTATAAATTATATATAAATATTATGTATAACCCTGCATAGACTAATATTACGGATACACATAGCTGAATTATGATGAACTAACAAATTCAGACATATAAGTAGAAGGAAAAACCAAAACCAAACCGAAAACTAAAAGCAAATAATAAAAGTTAAACTTTAAAGCGTGATTTCAATGAAATATATCATCAGTTTAAACGTTATAACGAATTATAGAACATTTTTCACCATAAATCAGATTGGAGTTTTGTTGATTAGCTTAAACTTTAAACGAAATACATTCAGCTTAGTTCTCTTAGGCTATGTACAACAGTTTGCAATTGGGAATACAACCTGAAAAAATATTTATTTCAACCTTAACGTTTAGGTTTTCGCTCCTTAGTCTCAAGTCGTAAGGTTTCTACCTCTATCTAAGAATTGTTGTTTCGTTTTAACATTTGAATTTGATTATTTTAAACTCATATTAGGATCTAATAAAAATATACATACTAACTAAATGATTATGGCAAATGTTAAAAAGAAAAAGAAATATTAAGAACAATAATAGTTATTACTATTTATATTATATTCAAGTATATGACATCTAAACAATATACATTTATACATATATACTTAAAAACAAAACCTTGTGCTACTGCTGCACTGGCTTACTAAGATTGGAATTTTTAAAACGGAAATGCGACGACGAGAACAAAAAATTCAACCTACCTACAAAAATTAGCTATCTAAGCTAATGCAACTCTCAAGGTATAACAAAATTCACAGATCATTCCAAAGAATATTTCTATTCCTATATGTATCTAAAGCGAAAAAAGAAAAAGAAGCCATGATTTCGGATTTTTCCATTTTGAAAGTATATGAAATTAACCTAATACCTTAGATGTTTTTGTCCTGTAAATGGTATAATATAATGATAATGATAATGCGTAGTTATGGATCTGTGTATCCCCTGTACACATACTTACACAGTTGTAGTTATGTTCACCGAGCAAGAAAATGCATAAAAAAAACACAAAAGGGCAAAACTTCAAAAAAGAGAAAACCAAAAAAAAATATTTATGTAATATAATTCATCTAAATTTAACAACTCAAAGTGAAATAACTCTACGGAAGACAGGAAAATAAGTTATGCAAATTATTAAAAGTATTGTTCAATAAAAATTACAATTCTTTGCTTTTCCAAGTAAATACTGTAAATTATCTCAAGCCGAAAACCAGATGCAAAACTAAAAATAAATAACAAAAAAAACATCACAAACGTTCACATACGTATGTATTAAAGAAAGGTAAATTATAAAAAAACAAGACCTATCCACAAAGTAAAAAAAAATATGGCAGACAAAAGACGACAAACTATATATACTTGCATATTAAACAAATTATATGAAATTATATAAAAGATGTTGATTATTGATTTAAATTAAAAATGAGAAAGTGAATAAAACAAATTATATATACACCTATATATAAAAATATTAAACCAAACCAAAGAAAAATTCCATTTGTGTTTTCCTTCAGTTGGTATCTTTTTTTATACAGCATTACACTGAGCGACATAACCAGTGCCCTCCCCAAACAAAAACATGTACATACACACAGGCACACACCCACATCCTGACCAGAGAAACACCCACACAAAAACTTGAGAACCCCCATGCCGACACCCCGACGAACTGACCAAAAAATATTAAAAGCAAGTCGATCATATAAATGTTTTATAAAGTATGCATATAACTGTATATGATTAACGTACGTCAAAAATATCTTAATATGTAATTTTATTATTATTTTCAAAAATAAAAATAACTATTTCTAAATGCAAGCGGAAAGCATCGCAAAGCCATCACAAAAGCACAAAAGAGTAGTTGAAAAATAAAAAAAAAGTAAGGAAACTGGTATAATAAACTAAGAATCTAAAGTAGGCCCAAAAATATAAAAATCCACGAGTATGAAACAAGATACTGTAGCAGTCCATGTACTTTCATTTCCTAGATATGTATGTATGTAATTTATATTTGATAAATCTTGCATTGTGCATTTAGCAACCAAACAAATGCATCGGAACCCAAACTATCCATTGAAAAGAAAGCACCATTGAACAAGATCAAAAGACACACTATCGAATCGATCATTCTAACCAAGTCACCACAGAGTTAATCGCATAGATGAAGAACATGAGGAAGAATCGAGTAGCAAATGAGTAACGACAAATACATAAGATATAGGCATATGCATTATAGGTAAAAGAAACCCAAGGTATAGGACAATGTTTGATGTTGAAATGAGTTAGTCTGGCCACAAAGAGTCAGCTTTATAAGCATAGATACGAGCATACACACAGTTGTACACCAAGCATCGGGCGACATTATACATAGCCATCGACAGCACCGCATAGTATGAAGATAATGTACGGTATATAGATATAAACATAACCAAGTGAACACACTCACCACACATACGCACCCACGGACATCTCAAGTAGGATCAGTCATTTCACCCAGATGTTTCAGACCCCCTATCTATGCCATTACCAGAAACTCACCCGTGCACATACACAAAGGATAAAATATATCATTTTACGACTCTTCCCAGAGTTTTGTTGTTTACGATAAACTGTTTATAGCTGTTTTTTCAATTTTAAATATATTATATTTACTGTATGGTAAACAATACGATAATAAATCTAAAGCAAATCGAAAGAAATGAAACCATATATACTATATGTTTTAAATGCAATTACCAGACGAATCTTAAATTGAGACTTTGCAAGCAAGGCTCTTTGCAGGCAGAGAACGAATGAATATTATTGAATAAACTGCATATATAAATATATACTATAATGAAACTGTATTGAAAGACAAGCATAATATTTTATTTCCAAGGCGAAAAGAATTTAACCCAAGCCAACGCACCCACGTGCGTCCACACCTGTACGGTTAGAGGTTATTGCAGGTGAGCCTTCGGCTCCAATATGTTGCATCTGTTCTGTACCAGCCACAACTGCAAGACGACAACAGCAACAAAAACACACAGCTAAATAACAATGTATAACATGAGAGATGTGAACTACACATATATATACACAGAAATGAAATGAAATGAAGAATGTTTATAAACAATAAAAAAATGTTTGAAAACTATCAAATGAGTATTTTCACTCCAACTCGATTATTATCGCTTCTTAAATGCGAACACTTGAGGACATCCAAATATCACATGCTAATGCAAATTACATTTTGTTTGGACAATATAAATTTGTCAAATGTTTTCTTAGCTTAGAAGAAAGTATTTCCCGTCCCATAATCATCTCGTCTCGACTTTAGCTGTACTTACAGTTACTTCTAAAATTGAATGTCTTTGAAGGATGATTTCTTAATAACCACAATCACAATATTTGTCATATTTTTTCTGACCATTATTTTTTGTTTGAACAGCAGATAAATCCACTTTAAAGATAGAATTAGATTTCGAGTCGCAGCCAAAGGTTTCAGACGTGCTTTTTTAAAGCTGATTAGCGGAGAAATTACGAGATTGAAAATCTACAGATCATTAAAGTTCTTATTTTTATTAAAATATTCTTATATAAAATATAAAAAATATCATATATCATTCATAACCAAATATTCATATGAATGTGAATATTCATTCATATGAATGATAAATATTCCAAATATCATTCATATATAAAATATTCTTACTTTAAAGTTTATGTGTGTTTGGTGTATATAAGCAAATTATTTCATACATTCGTAACTTTTTATAGATGATTTACATCAACTATGATAAATGATTTACATTAAAATACAAAATAATTGATTTAAATACATTTGTTCGTTAATTCTTCGACTGGCTAGTGAAGCGCATTATAATATTTTAATCTCTCTTAAGTAATGGTAGAGAGCTACAACAAAATAATACAACAAAAATACGGAAATCGATCTAAAAAGTAAAAATAAAGGACGGTTATAGTAGAGTTTCCGGACAATTTTTTGTTGTATACTTTTGCGCTTGGGCAAAACAACAACAACAAACCTACGGCCATACTATCGATTCAGTAGGGAAGCAGACTAAAAAGTCTTAAACTCCTCTAAAAAATTTTCGATTTGGCTGCAAGAATAGGTGTAGAATAGCCATTGGAAAAGTTTGGCATTGAATCATTGTCCAAAAACATTTAAGAACTGGCGGTAACACGAGGTTTTTTTTTTTGGAACAGAAGTGAGCGTGGCAAAATTTTGACACAATCTTGATCTGCGTGGATAACATACGAGTCCAAGTTCCAAATCAGATAGATCTATCTTTTATAGTCTGCGAGAGCCAGCGCTAAAAATTGTAGTTTGGGATAAGTATCTAAGGTATAAGGATAAGGTATCTCTTTCAATTTGAAAGTTTCAAAAATCGGTCGATTGGGATGCAATTTGTTTTTCAGATACATATTAGCTTTATAAATAGTTTGGCATCACGATATAATATATCATTTTTAGAAAAAAATATCGATGATATAAATATTTTGGTATATTATCAACCCTAATTGGAGGGTTAGGCAAGCTATATATATATATATATACCTATATATCCTCTTCAAAGCACCAGACTTCCTCTTCAAAGCACCACGGCATTGCACATTGTGACGAACGCGAGCGCGTTAAAACATTATATATAGCAGCAGAATTAAAATATTTCTGTGTGTCTGAGTTAAATAAGTCATATATCAAATGAAAGTATTGCTCTAATTAGATAATTTTTACCAACATTGGGCGAGAACAGTCCAACAGTTTGTGAGAAATTTACGTAAATACGAAATGAATTTGATTCACTAACTTGGGGCTAGCTGGAGACATTGTAGTCTCCAAACAAAATATTTTTTTCTAATTCTAATTTTGAATGCCTCAATCGTCCCAATCCGACTTTTTGTGCAAAAGTTGTTCTAAATACCGATTCTTCTTTAAAATGAAACCTAATGTGTCCTTCTGTTTGTTTACACTATTTTGTTTCTCCCAATTCTGAAAAAATTGGACAGGTTAGTTACTGAAATACAACAAACATTTGTCCTACACTTTTTTAAATAACTAAAGAGATTAAGTAAAAAACTGTTTACCTTAAAAGATGCATAACTTTATAACCAATAAAGATGAAAATCTGGCCAAAACTAATATCTCAAGAACGGACCAAGATATGTATTTAATCAAAAATCAGGATTTGAGTTCACTAGTCAATAAAATACAGATTTAAAAAACTGTGGGCGTGGCACCGCCCACTATTTAAGAAAAACATTCTAACTCAAAAACTAAGCCAAACATTTAGATTCCGATTTTTAATTTAAGTATATATGGTCAAAAGAATTCAGATTTGAAAAAATTGTGGAAGTGGCGAAACGAACACGAGTGTGGCCACCCATCAAAAATCCACTGCATGCTGTTGGTTAATGCAGCCCTGACAGTGTGGAGCAACGAAGATGAAAGGCATTTTTGGTCAAGTCGGGACCACTAGATGGCGCTACCAAAAAGCGCCCCCCAAATAGAGCATACCTTCCGGCGCGGTTGGCCTTGCGATAGGGCTATATTCCTTTTTCCTCATTTAAGTATAAACAGCTCACAAACCACGACAACTCACAGGAAAACTTCCACTAATCATCCCAAAACCCCCAACACCAAAGCCTCCTCCCGACCGGAAGCGGGAGCCTACAATACTACCGGGAGAAGCTCTGTTTTGTCGTAAGAGGCGACTGACAGCGCCGGGGGAAAGCATATCCCTGCAGGAAAGCAGAGTAAGAGCTACTTGCAACCTTTCTTCACAACCCGAAAAGCATCTGAGGGCTGAGTCGAGAAAAGCCCTGGTATAGGTAACTGGGGAACAAAGGAACTCGAGACGACGAACCCTGGGCTGACGGACAGCTGTATTGTGGCACCTGTATTCTGGAAAATTTAGCAAGTCTTCAAAAAACGCTGCATAGGTGTTGCGACTAAGCTGCCCGTGAACCATACCTGACCAACGCGGATCTGGCTCTAAGCGATACACCTCGTAAGGGCTAGAGTCAGCATGGACCTCACTACACGCAAAGGAAACCATGGGATCAATGACGTGACTGCACAACACCTAAGGACAACTGTTAAGGAGTTGGAACCCACTAAAATAAGCAACTTAACAACTCAAAATTCAGATAGAGAGGCAGCTTTCGCGATAAGCTGCAAAATAATAAGATCAGCAGCAGCAGCAAGCTGGATGGTACCCCTCCTATTTTAGGGATCCGCGTGGACCTGAACAGGAGCCAAATCTAGAATTAAGGAAATACAACAATACTGCAGGACCTCGGGAAGGAGATCGCGCAGCTAGTGGAGATGCTGGAGGACGGAAAAAGGAGGTCCATCCACCAGCCCATAAGGAACGCCATAGAGAGCACCCGAACTCTCTACGAGCGACTGGGCGCTCAGACGGACGAACAGAGACGCAAGGAAGCGCCTAAATCCCACCAGCCGTCACAAACTTCGCCCCTATTTCGACCGGTAGCGAAACCCAGAAGAAAGGGATCAAGCTCAGTCCAACAACAAGAGGAGCAAGAGGAAGACTTCTTAGGGGGCAAAAAGAAGCAGACGAAGAAGCAGCGGGCGACTAACCCAGTGCCCCAGGAGAAGCCAAAGCCGGACGCACTGGTCATCACGGTAAAAGGCGAAACAATATTGGGAGATATTTAATATTGGGAGATCGCCATTTCGATATTCCATTTTATTAGTTACAGGCTTTGAATTATCGAATTAAATTTACATTAACAGTAAGCTTTATTTCCAAATCGGAATCCAAAAGCAAGTAGAAGTTCACATGCACGCTATAAATCAAAGACTAATCCTTAGAATCTTTGTTTAATTAATTTTGACGTTTTTATTTATCTTTAATTAGCTTACAACGATGGGTCGCAAGCGCAATTTGTAAATTTAAAATAAAAGCTTTGTTGGGGGCTAGACTCTGAGCAGCCACTAGCACCTCCTCAGCTGTGACCGTTTCCACCGATTCAACTTCGTAGTCCTCTATGGCCGCGCGGGTTTTCTCCGCTTGAATGCTTGAGAAAAGGACGTCAATTATGGCCCTCAGTGCCTTGGGGTCGGAGGGGCCTACTATTTTGTAGGCCTGACCCCATGGGTTCAATTTTGCCTCGTCGCACAGCTTGAGGAACATCTCTCGATTGCTGTCCCCTATGGCCGTTTTCAATGCTTTCTTCGCTGCCTTGAACACGAGGTATCTCTGCTCCTGCGAGTTCGTGCTTCGAGCTCGGTGCAGAGATGTCCTAGCCCTCAAGCTCTCTTTACGGAGAGACGAGATCTGACTGGTCCCCGACGGATCCGGCTTGTGGTGCCGAGCGAAGGTCGTGCGCGCTGTCATACTCCGCATTCCGCATCAATAGCCGTCGCATGTGGCGAATCAAGCGGCGCACTTCGCCTCTCATCTCATCGCATACGCCATCATAATACGCCATCAATTAGTGCATTAGCTAGCATTCCTGCATTCATCATAAAGCTTAGAGACCCATATAGCTTAATAATAATTTGTTATCTGGCTGTCTACATCACCATTGATGAGATTATGTAGAAAAACAACACCCAGCATTGTCCTACGATTGGTTAAGGATGATAAGTTTATTAGTAGAAGTATGGGATACTCCAGTATAGGACGGACCAAAGAAATGAATAAACCTTTCTTTTGACCACCTTTTAATAAAACCAAGGACACCTTTAGCCTTATTAACCATTGTGGAAATATGGTCGGAAAATTTAAGTTTAGAGTCTAATAGGACACCGAGATCATTAACCTGGGTTAATTTTTTTAAGTCAATCCCATAGAAAAAATACGTAGCCTGTATATGGCAAGAACGATAAAAAGACATAAGCTTGCATTTTGATTCATTAAGTATTAAATCATTTGCTAAACACCATTTTTGAAAATTTTCGAGATCGGACTGAAGATTGCATTGGGCAGACGCGGGTTGAGGACAAAGCTTAATATCATCTGCATACATGAGAAAAAGAGAGTTGGTTAAAGCAGGGGGAAAGTCGTTAATAAAAATAGTAAAGAGTAAGGGGACAAGATGTCTTCCTTGAGGGACCCCAGATGTAGCACGGACCTAGCGGGAATGTAAATTTTTAAATAAGACTCTTTGTGTCCTTCCATCTAAGTAGCTGGAGATCCCCATTAGATATAGTCAATGGCCTAATCAGAGGGCGCAGATGAATTTTTTGAAACGTAAGCAGAGATGGAAAAGATACATTTTACGCTAAGTGTTTACAAAGTTAAAAAAACTACTTTGGATCCTGAGGCAGCGGCGAATATAATTCATATATAATTCAATTCACATTTAGCGTTATGCACGGTAAATATTGACCGAGATATCATGAAAAATCAATACTACTGCCAGTTTTTTATATTCAAGTAAGAGCCTTTTTTTTTAGTATTTTTAAGGTCGTGAGGCACCTTGTAAGCCAAGGAGGATTTGTTGAAGCGGACGGATATTTCCATGGCACACATAAGTCAAAAGATGTTTATAAAGCAGAGGTCGGCACGGCCCTATCTCGGGGGCATAGGAAATTTCTCTGCCCGAGCTCTGCCACACACACACAGTACAAATGTGTGAAACGTCATGCTCACAGCCTACTTTCTGCTATTCGTTACTAACAAAAAACAGCAAATAAAACAGATTGTAAATAAAACTTTCAAATGTTAAAAAAACAGCAAACGAAAACAGCAAATCCTATTTAATAACAGCTAATCCGCGCATGGATACTTTTGAAACGTATGAGTCTGTAGAAGATATATTTCTGCTTATTTATGCAATGCTTCGCTGTTTAAGAGATATCTCCATTTGGTTTTTACGTTTTATTTTTGATTTTTTCAAATAAAAATCATACCATAAAAAGCATAAAAATAATTTTTATGGTTTATTTTTTCAATAAAAATCTCTGATTCATAAAGTCCGCGGCCAAAACTACATACTAAGCGATATTTCCCAAACATCCTGTCCCACCCTGAAACACAGTTTGACGAGCACAACGCTGCCGATCTTGATGTTGGGTTTTGCCTTTGTCTACTTTTGTTACTGAAGACTCTGAAGACACAAGGACAGGACGATCTATGCATGGAGCGACTCCACAATAGTTCTATCATGGCTAGTACGAACCAGCCCAATTTAAGACATTTGTTGGGAACCGCACCTCAGAGATAATCGAAACCAGTGCTAAGTATGCATGGGGGCATGTGGACTCGAAATTGAACCCAGAAGATTGTGTACCCCGGGGCTTGGGAGTATCCAGGCTCATTGACTTCCAATTGTGGTGGAAGGATCCTTCATGGCTGAGGGACAAGGATCAATTCTTGGTAAAATTGAACAATTCTCACAAGTGTTCTTCTCTTTTAGAGAAACGTATACAAAGCTAAGTCAAAACCAACTGCCTAGCTGCGCAGGTCACGACGGACAATCCTTTGCATAAGCTTATCAATCACAACTCATCCTGGCTGAAGCTTAATACAGACACTTGTTTATGTTTTGCGATTCATTCATCGCATAAAACACCCATCTTCGAAAGGATCATCAACTTTTTTTCAGCTTTGATGATATTAAGGCGGTGGTTTTCAAGAGGACTTCCAGCTATTACTCGCTAACAAGACTCGCTAGGAAACTCGCAACCTCAATTGGTAAAGCTCTCACCGATCATCGACAAGGACAACCTGCTCAGAGTCGCAAACACTCACAGTTGTCCGCAGAAGCAAAACAACCATCTTTGGTTCCAAAGGCTTACTTGATCATAGAACATGAGCACCAATTCAACCAGCATCCTGGAGTCTTATCTCTCATCGTTATGGTCCGACTACGTTACTGGATATTTGACGATACGCACGAAATTTGATACGTAAAATCACGCACAACTGTTTGGCGTGCTTTTGGCAGAGGCAACACACAATGCATCACTTCCAATCGTAAACACTGGATTCGACTATGCAGGACCCATCCTTCTGTTTCAATGGCTAATCTTCACCTACAAATCAAAATGCAGCCAACCCGGATAATTTTAGGAGAGGTGGTAGTATGCAACAAAAATATGTTGTTAAGAATCCATACTGTTCATGTTTAATCTTTAAAGGTTAGTTAAATTGTGCGTGGAAGAGATGAGTAGCGGGTATAGACGTACCGGAAAACTCGACTACAGACGTCCTTTCTCGTTTCACTTAAAATTGATTTATATAAGAGAATACATGCTTCATTTTCGTTGTGAATTTATTTTTTAGTATTACGATGCCAACACCAAATACAGGCAATCCTGACAAAAAATAAAAATGCACCTCTAGTCTTAGCCTGGAGGCCACTGCATTTGCCGGCCGCCAAGGAAGTGCAAATGTAAGTGATAAACCGATTGGGCACCGTGCTTGCCATTGTTAATAACCACTCGGTAGCCGTCAGCCAGACATAGGTCCTTGGCCACTTTGCGACCCACCAGCATGAGATGTCCCAGCAATTCGGCATCCCCATCCTCAGCCAGGGAAAGTTGGGCGATCGGTTTCCGAGGAATCACCAAAAAGTGGGTTGGAGCCTGTGGAGCCACATCGTGAAAGGCCACGCACTGAATTATATTAAGAGTGGAATTTATGTTAAATTATTCAAAAATGTACTTTGCCCTTTGAGTCTCACCTTATCATCTTCGTGGATAAACTTGCAGGGAATCTCCTTCCGTAAAATCTTTCCAAAAATTGTGTCCTCGCTTGCAGCTGCCCCTTGGGCTTTCTCCACCTCACTCGCCATACTAGCACTGGAAGTGACTATCGAGCGATAACTGCGTAGTAAATAATTATAATAAATTGCAGGTGGATCAACTCAACTTGAACTAAAATAAATACGGCATGCACTTACCTGGGAACACGAACAAAATTGCGAATGGCTGTCAAAAACATTGAAAAATGGGCTGCCAACTGAACTGAAACTCGGAGCTGTTGATATACCGATAGGTGGAAAACCAGGGTTCCGGAAAAAGAAACTGTTTTAGTGGGAGAAACTTAGTCCCCTAGTCTCGGCAACTAAAACAGATGATTCTGCTTAGTACAGTAACTAAGCAGAATCATCTGTTTTAGTTCAGTAACTAAGCAGAATCATCTGTTTTAGTTGCCGAGACTAGGGGACTAAGTTTCTCCCACTAAAACAGTTTCTTATGGTACATAGTATTGAAACTGTTATAATTTTTTTTTAATTTTTACAAACTGGCACCCAAACACGGGGTACGGATTATTACAAATAATATATAAGTTTGCCAATATTCATACATATGTGTATCTGAGAATTGAAGAGATCAACATTTTTTATATTCAATCTTACTATACTTTTAAAATGAATCAACCAATCATATGAATAAATTCACGTTGATTTTGACAACAATCAGTTTGTATATAATTTTTGACAAGAAATAACATTTTTCATAAAAAATCGGCAACGTTTTATATACATACAATATTCTGATTTAGTATCACTTCACTAGTAGATCGTCGGTCTGCTTCTGAGCTAGTTCGAGCTTTCCAGCTATCTTAAATCATAATAAAAGACTAGAAAAAATAATCCAAAATTATATTTTACTAAATTTTTACTAATGTGGGCAAAGACAAAGATGAATTTTCAATCTACATTTTTGTTATTAATTTCAATATCAGAAAACTAGAAAGATTGCATCCTTTGATTTTTATAGTGTCTGATTTAGTTGAACAGATAATTGCCATCCAATTTTGTTCGTTCTTAGATCCTTGGCTACATGTGACTCCGGGGAGCGCTTTTCGGGTCGATTGAGGAGATAAAAGCTGAATAGAACGCGCTCATGGCTATACCGCAAGGGACTATTTGGCATGCTTCGAGGATTTGCGTAACGTTGATGTAGTTAACAAACGTTTTTTGTAACGGTCCAGAAATAAAAAGACGTCGATAACAATAGCTTGCAAGAGCTTGTCCATATAAGCGCGGATGTGAAGAGCAGCAATGTGTTGGGACGTGATTTAATGCCAAATATTGGATACGCCAATGGTGGTTAGGGCTGTCCGAAGTATTTGAACCTCCAAAACCCGACAGTTGACTTGTGTGTTTTATATAGAAGAAGAAACAACTTTATTTTAGTTTTTGCCCACAGTAGCATCTTTATTTGTATAAAACTGTTTTTATCTTGTAAAATATATATATATAGAAATCATACTACGAATAGAAATATAACTCACTGTAATCTCCTTTCTTAAAAGGTCTCTAAACAAAATATTGTGGTTTGCGCATGGTGATGCCATGATCGGCCAGGGCAGGCACTAAATCCTCCATAGCTAGCGTGTATTTTCGGTCCTTGGGGTTCTTCTTGTTCGAACTATGACCACTGGAATGCTGTATATTTGTTGTTCTTGTCTTGCAGTGTTGCAGGGCGTCATTAGCAATATCCGAAATGAACTTCTGGGCCGACACGGAGATGAGGCGAACAATTTTAGGATCCACGGTTGAAAAGCCAGCCTATATAGGATAGCGAGTTAGTTCAAAGTTTCTTGGCTGTAACGCATTTACTTACAGTCCGCAAAGTATGCATCGTTAGGGCGTCTGGAATAGTCGGTGTGTAATCTTCCAGTTGTCGCATTAATTCTTCCATATCCGCATCCTCACTCGACGCAGGCACTTCCTCCACATCTGGATCCTCAACCTCAGATTCTAAATCAGATTGAATATGGGCGCTGGCCTCCTCATCTTCAGTGTCTGTAACTGACGCAATGGATTCTGTAGGGGTTGTTGTTATGTCCTCGCCATCAGAAGCCATCATAAATTAGATTTTAAAGTAGATTTTTATTCTCAACGTCGCAATAATTGTTTACGTTTGTGGGTATCAGGTCGATAACAATAGGAAGGAGACTTTTGTGACTATCGATAGGTTCTGCTAGATTTCTCGTATTTCAAATATACGTAAGTACAAAGAAAGAAAGAAAATTAAAAAAACGATTTTTTTTAAAGACTACTCCCATCTCTAAGTGAGACCGTCAACTGCGTTTCTTCGGTTGAAATTTTGCAAACAAAAATGGTGGGGTCCAACTTCGGCATAATTTACCATAATTCTGGCTCTGGAGGCTCCGGACAAGGAAACCAAGCGTCAAACGCAGGCGGTGGTGCTGGAGATCGGGAACGAACTGCACCAGCCTCCCACCTCAGCGACTTTATGTCCCAACTGGAGGACTACACGCCTTTGATTCCAGACGCAGTAGCAGCCCACTACCTAAATATGGGAGGATTTCAGGCGGACGATAAGCGTATTGTTCGGCTGATCAGCATAGCCGCACAAAAGTACATGTCGGACATAATAGATGATGCCTTGCAACATTCAAAGGCCCGCACACATATGCAAACTACTAATATTCCAGGAGGCTCAAAGGCCAAGGACCGCAAGTTCACGCTTACTATGGAAGATCTGCAGCCAGCCCTAGCGGATTACGGTATCAATGTTAGAAAAATGGACTACAGTCAATAATAAAGTTCAGATTTGTTACTACTTTCCACACACCTATTCTGACAAATTATTTTATTTGTGTAGAAGAAAATACGATTTAAAATATTTTTTTATTATCATCATTCAATAAATAAGTCTACTGAAAATAAACTAAATTCTTAAATTTGCAACCCAAAGTTTAAGTTTCTACAGTCTTCCATTAAAATGATAAGAAACAGTATTTAGGTTATATATAGGTTTATACAGGCTTAATATATTAAGATTACATGTGGAGCATACAAAGTGTTTTTTAAAAGCTAAATTCTTAATACTTGTTATTGGCATGTTATAAACTTCTTGAAACTGCGCGATGTACCTCCAGCAACTCTGAACCCTATAACACCAGTAATAATAGTAATTATGTAGTTAATGAGCAAGGTCGTGGTATAAAATTCGCTCGCATTAAGCAGAGTTATCAAGGACACAAACAGATGACTGCACACAACGTAACAAACGTGCAAGTAGTTACATGTATCAAAGGCATTAAAGAATATTACGCTCCAGAATGTGTGCAGCAGGATAATGGAAAGAGCTTGAGCGGCCGAGGTGACAAAAAAAAGTTCGGTACCACTTTTGAGACCCATAGTTCCAGGCCCACTCTGAAAAAAGATAAGTTTAATAAATGTGGGCTTAGACGTTCTCGCATATGTATAGAAAGAAAACGCGGTTAGCATTCCTTACCATATCAGCCAATACATTCACCAGGGCAAACATCCCGGATATGATTCCAAATCCTAGTCCAGACACATATGCCAGGATGTGCTTATTGTCCGTAACTCGCGTGTCCTCGGCAACTGCGTGCAGACCCTGCTCTGTGCTGCGCAGAATGCGGTAGATTATGTACCTAAAGCATTCCTGAAACAGAACTGAGAAGAACACGCCGAATGCCAGGACATCCCGAAGTGGAATCATAGCAAACCACAAAAGCGAGGAAAGTAGCAGTGAAAGCAGCCAGAAAAATGCCGCTGCTATCAGGATAATAATCCGTACAGGGTCATTGGCAATGGTGAAAACGAACAGAGCAAATGGCGGACCAAAGGCGATAAAAGTGCAGCCAAAAAACTCGGGCAACGTCATCTCTTTCAATATAAAATTCCTACAGTTTATTTTTGCTTAGTGTTTTGTTTTGTGTGGGAAGAGGAAGCTGAACCGAGAAGTTGCCAGAAAGGCGTATTGCTTTGCGTGTTGCCAGATGAATTGTGTGAAAATAGCTTTGACAAAAAATTATGTTTTAAATTATTATTTTCCCATTGCTGTATGTTTCTGTTTTGCTATTATTTTGTTTCAAGCGCTTGCGATCAACAAATAATCATTAAAATACAGTCACCTTTTAGGTTTTCCGGGTAACTAAATATTCGATTACAATGGACACTAATTTTAGAAGATGCCAGATCGTTAGTTTTAAATATCTTCATACCCTTACCCGTATAGAGTTTATTCACTGATATTCTAAATCTTACTTAATTATCCACAACAACATGTGTTTTAAACGCAGTATTAAGAATATCTAAAAAACATGAAAAACTCTATTATTTAAACAAACAGAATCATAAATTGACCAAATTCTATGTACATTATCCCCACTAAGGGTATTCATTAAGTCAGTTAAGTGAATTACACCCACATTAAGACAAAGGCTTCCGTCCCACTTTCTGTGCCTCTTGCAATATTTTTGTTTGGGGCGGGATTAGTCATTGTAAATTGACTTACAATGCGAACCGCATAATCTCCCAGAAGCAGAAACCAAGTGCAAGCCGACAGCTGCTGGCTGAACAGCGATTGCTTAATAAACAAAGAGAACACCCAAACATTGACTTGTTCAAAATTTAACAAGTAAGTAATGTTAAATTGGCAAGGCTTCGCGAAAAAAAAGTAATTCCACATTTTTTAGTGCATGCAGTAAATGCCAAACGCCTTCTGCCACACCAGCCGTCGGTCGAGGGGGGAGATCCTGGTCCAGATGATCTGGATAGTCCAGCCATAGAGGCCGCGGCCCTTGACATACCCCCGCCCGAAACGGAAAGAGCACTTCAAAAAGGTTTGTACAGGGACCCCTTATTAAACTTGGACAAAAATTTGTCTAATTTTTATTTTTGGTTCCAATGTTCAATGGTATTGAGTTTCCTCAATTTACCAAATTTTTGTGCAAGTTTGTGGTGGGAGATGTAAGTTCCAGTTTTGCCTTTAATTTTTGACAAGGACACGGATACTTTAGAGATTTTCATTAAAAAAATTAAAAATAAAAATTATTCTTGATTTTTGTTTGAAAAAATCAAACAATAATTTACAGAATATTACCTTTCATGTGGTGTATAGTATGCATATCAAAATCTATACTGCATATGAGCTTTTTGCGATGCCCATATTATTAAAATACAATAAATTTTAATTAATTTTCAAATTTTTTACTTTTGATTTTTTAAATAAAAGTCAAGTATTTGAATTTTTCAAATAAAAATCAAGAAAAATTTTAATTTTCGATTTTTATAATAAAAATTGTTAGTACAAAATTCAAAGGCCTTTGTTGGAGCCAAAATGTAAAAAAAAAAAATAAGCCAATTAAAATAAAAACAGACGCATATGCTTATATCAACTCAGGAAGTGATCATGAACAGGAAAATGTATGTTTTAAATGGTCGGAGATGTCTTCTTCACTGCGTTGCACACTTTTGGCCAAAATTAAAATACCTCTGCAAGGGTATATCAATTTATTTAAACTTGAAATATTCAATGTTTGTTTGAGTGTTGAAAAATATTTTCTAATGTAAAGGTTTTCACGAAAACATAAAACATTGGAAAGGCGTCTAAACAATAGAAATACTTTCAGGTATCTGGGAGCGACCAGCACAGACGGCCGCTTCTTATCAGGGGCCTAAAGATGGGAGCACTGTGCTGCGTTTCGATATCCTTCTGGCCCACATAATGCCTCCCGATGGCGAGGACGTAAAGATCAAACGCTATGTAGTGTATGAACTAACCGTCAGTCAAGACGGCGAGACGCAAGACACTCAGCCGACGAAGATCGAACGCCGCTACACGGACTTTCGGGAGCTTTATCTGGCTCTGAAACGACTGCATCCGGCGGAAATGGCTAATAAATACTTTCCGGCCAAAGTACTGATGGGAAACTTTAAAACGGAACTTATCGGAGAACGGAGCGCTGCTTTTGAAGCCTTTCTCACCTATGTAGCAAGTCAAGCGAACTTAAAAGAGTCTAAGGAGTTCTTACGCTTTTTGCAACATGACGAGTTAACCCGGGCATGTCAATTTTTGGATGAACGACGTAATGAAAATGCCATACCAATACTGGAGAACTGTTTTCGCCTGTTGAACAAGATTTACATGAATCGCTCGCGCCCGGTGCTTCTCATACTCTGCCGCCTGGTTGCGGCTTGTACTTCATCCCCAGTACCACATCATTCTGCCGAGCGATGGGCACTTTTGGCACTAAATCGTTTTGAGACGTTATGCGATATTGATCTTCTACCGCTCTACATACCCCTTTTACACACCTGTGCGCATCTATGGTGAGTTACGAAAATTAAAAAAAAAACCAAGGTTTAATCCTTATTCTCAGAGAAAGGACAAAGTAGGCGAAATGCGTGGAAAGTTTCAGATCGATGGTTCTAGAGATGATACTGGCGAACATTTTTTAGGGCAGATTATGGCACAGTTTTACAAAAATATTTAGTATGAAAGCGTATAAAGGATCATCATATACATAATAATATAATCCATATAATTTATATCTTTGAACAACCAAAAAACCGCTTCAGAAAAAATCAAGCTAATGTACATAACATATATCAACTTTTTAGGTGGCAACGCGGCCAAGACCAGAAACCCATCACCGACCGACTAAACGACATGTCCAAAAAAGGAATTAACATTGCCAACACGTCTACCCTGATGCAAGCGATTCACAAGATTGACCCACGGACCGAAACCATCTGAATCTCCAGCATTAATGCCCATCAATAGGTTCACAAATTTGTTAGCTAGTAGCCGCAATGCGTTAAGTGCAATTAGAGGAAGTGTGCAACTTAGTATTAAGGGGAAAGTAATATTTATACACCATACAGTTTTTAATTCAATATTTTTCAATTTTTTTTTATAATTATAGAAGATTTTACCATTTATAGAATAAAAGAAAGTAAAAGTTAAATCAAAATGCTGCATGTGATTATTAAATAGTAAAATTTCTTTAAAACTTTGATTTAAAAAAAAACTCCCACATTATAGATATGGGCTCCGTAAGCCAGTAGATTCTTCTTTAAATTAAACGAATTCTTTAAATTTTTTAAAATTATAAATTATTATAGAGGTCCCCTTATCAAGTTTAGTAATATAATTCGAATCGCAGTGTATATCCATTTTTATATTGTATTAGTTACCAAACACTCTATGAATCATAGAAATTCTTAACCATAGAATTCCATATCAGCCTGAGAAAACATCAGACACTGTTGCCAAGTGTAAACAGTTTCCGAATGGTATTTTCGCCGATTAACCTTACCGCCTTGTAAATAAATAACCAAATGTTTCTCGAAACAGTTAACTTTATGTATGATGTTTGATTATTTAAAACTTAATCATATATATTAATATTTTCTTACTTGTTTCTGAGTCATTTTGGGATATGCCCTTAGTCTAGGAAAGCACTAATTAATAATTATCTTATTGTTATAATATTGTTGTGAGGATCTCTTGACCGCACTCGAAATTTATACATACAATTCCCTTTTAACGTCACAATCGATTTACCTATATAATTAAAAGATGTGTGCGGTTTCAACGAGTTGATAGCGCAACATACACAATTTACATACATCATTTCCAATGTACAACCGAATACTTAGCGAAATAATCGCGTGAAGGTTTTCAGAGCTTGCGAAATGGCTTTCGTTGAGTCCGCCCTAAAAACAACGTAACGAAAAATTATTGAAGCCTTCATTAGGGCTTTAAAATTGTAGTTAGGCCTTACCTTAACACCGTGCATCTGAACTCGTCCAGCTGCTGTTGCGTTGCAGTCACATAGCCACCGCTGTTCTTTTTCGGTAAAGCATCCAGTGAGTGCTCCAAGAAGGGTCGCATCCGCTCATTCCCCACAACCTGCTTAAGTTCGTAAAGAACTTCCCCCACATCTGCCAGCATGTACGAGTGTAGCTGAAACACCGAGGCCTGGATCAAGTTCATCACCAACGCACTGCCATGCTGGTTAGCCAGCTCCACAACCAAGGGACGGCAATCGTCATGCCGATGTTGGCTTTGTTGCCATTGATCTAGTGGCCTACCCCAAACAAGGATATTAATGAAGAATTTCATGACCGAAGAGTTGGCTTCACGATGATCCAAAGAACAGGCTATGAGGGCGCACTGAAAGATTGGTGTAATCAAGTTGCTCTGGAGCAGCTGCCGAGGACAGCAATCCAAATAGCGAGATGCAAGTCTAAAAAAATCGTCCACGGTGTCCGGATTATTACGCAGTCCATTTTCCATCTGTAACAGGCCAAAAGTGGGCTCAATAAATGCCTGCAACATCTCCAACAGCCCTGCAATGCATTCGTGAGTCTTAGCAAACTCATCCACCAGTATGGAGCCCACATAGAGGAAGCAACTGTGGTGCTGCACCGCATACAGCACCACCATTTGCTTAATAAGAGGCTCTACCAGTAGAACCGCTTGCTTTCGAACCATTCTAATCCCATAGCGTATCAACCGACAGGTGCGCTCCATGATTCGCAGGTCGGTTTGGAACTTGTCCATCACTCGCGAGATTAGCTGCCAGGCGTCGGTTAAAATCGCCACTGTTGGATGTTCTACGGCATCTGGTATGTCTGGATTAGTGTGTCGAATGACAGCACAGGCTCTGTCGATCCAGTATGCGGGATCGTTGCGTTCTCCCTTGTGCACACTGGCTTCACTACTGCCTTCTACTAGTAGGGCTAGCGGTTGAAGTTGAAAGCCAACGATCTCGCGCAAAGCCGGCTGCAGTTGATCTCTAGGCAGCCGAGTAAGTATCAGTGAAATACCCTTAAGCAGTCCAATGGCCACGTCGTTGTTGATTTGGAAGCTCTCCAAGCTGCGGGCAATTTCTACCAAGCCATTTATATGGCATACCATCTTCTTGCGACAGGCGGAGCAGATGGAAGTCAGTGCCATGGCCGCAGCAGGGGCTAATCCATTTTTCTGCTGAAGGGCGTAGAGTAAAAAGTTTAGGACCGCTTCCAGAGATTCCGGGTGATTTTCAATCCAATCACAGAGCTCTCCAATTAATAGAATTGCCGTATACCGAACAGCTATGTGCGTTTGTTCCGACATGTTTAAAATCGCTTCCACCACCTTGGGTATAACCTCGTTTTCATCTCTGCAAACGGACTAGTTACAGAAAAAAACTCTTGAAAAATTAATCTTTAACTCACGGCAATATATTCTTGGCCACATTTTGCATAATAAAAAGAGCAGCCTCTGTTGACTCCCAAGTGGTTTCAGGTGTTTGCAGTATCAGAAACATTTGTTTGAAACATGCCCCAGATCCTACTATAAAGGCAACGTCTTTGATTAAATCGGAGACCTTACGCCTAAAGTCCTGTAATTTGAAAGTATAAAGACCTTCATGTAAGCTAATGAAAATTCGTAATTTAACTTACATAGAAGTTATTGTTTTCCTCTATCAGTCCATCGTGGTCACTCTCCATCTGGGAGTGCCGGTACAGGGCGCTGATTAAACGCTCAATGTGAGGCCGGAACAGAGCCGTCAATTGATCGTCATTCCGCTGGAAGAGATCCTCGCTGAGCTTATACCACAGATGAAACGTTATTTCGGCAACTTCGTAGTCAAAATGCCCTACGCAAAGAAGCACCAGATCCACTCCCTTTAATCCATAGTGTGGCTTTTGGGGATCACCGAGAATTTCAAAGAAAAATGCATCGCACAGGGAAGTAAAAATGCGGCAGTAATTGATGGTTTTGTCAGTGTCCTCATGTGCCACACTGAGGTGGTAAGGTGTTTCGAGAGAGCACACTGCTCCAAAGATTTGCGCCTCGACAGAGCTCTCTCCTTCGATAATGTTATCCTGGCGTGTGTTCATACAAGAGAGCAGTGCACAAACACATTCGGAGGCATTGTCGTGGAGCTTTCCTGAGGTATCTGGCAAAGTGAGAAGCCTGAAGGCCAACTGCGTGAGAGCGTTATTGTATATATGTGCCACTGGAAAGGCATGGATTACCAGCCAGGCACTGTATGTCCGCAGGGTGGCATTCCAAACGCGCTGTTGGTTGAGATCATCGCGCTGCAGGCACATACACAGGAACTTCAGAACACACTCTGCACTGGCGTCCAGCTGTTTGTGAACCTCCTCCCGCCGATTTGCTCCTAATCTCAGATATCTTGAGTCTATTTCCTCCGGAAGAACTTTTAATACCTCCAGCAAAGGCCAGACAGCAGCAGGATGGGGCGACAGGGTTACCAGGAGATCATTAATTGGCTCCTGCCAGGTGGCCATCAGCAAGGCCAGATCCGCAACAGCCAAACTCAGTTGTGTCACTATAACATTGTCAGTCTGCTCGTCAATTTGACCAATGTGTGTGATAAGAGAATCCCGCAGGGATTCGTGAGTGTGCGGGGGAAGTTCGCTGAAGGAGTTTTGGATCTTGTTTCGCATTGTCTGGGCGGCGAAATAGTTCGCGTGCAGATCTCTTTTTTGATGCAAGAGTTCATCCGCAATCGTCCAGGAATAAATCTAAGCAATTGAAAATAAATTTACACAAACAGGCTTAACCGCAATCTATCTGTCCCACTCACCGACTTCTGAAAGTCCTGTAGCCATTTGTTGGCTTTTTCCTGCTCCTTGGGGTTATTACCTTGAAATAGCGCATTGATCGCTTGGTACACCACGTCCACCGAGTACGTATCCATTTCATCGGCAGCTAATATCAGCGCATTAAATTTTATAATTATTATTGTATTTAATTAGCGATGGTAGAAAAGATGCGATGGGTAGAGGTGAGCGTACACGGTCACGACTGTCCCAAGGACTGTAGCGGACTCGATAAACATCGGAGGCCAGTCGGACGCATAATTCAAACTGTAATAACTAGCGTTATCGCTTTCATTTCAAAAGAAATTTTCCCTTACCAAAAGTATCTCTTTTTACCAAAAAGCAGACACTGCTCCAAATGTCACAATGGCTTTTAAAAGACACATATAACACAAAAATTTAACACTTGTTCTAAACCATAATTTATTTCATTTAAATAGTTTTTTGTGCCTCTTCTCAGTTTTTCCGACTAAGAATAACTGACTCAGATCCAATTCACTTTGTAGTATATGAATTCAAATAACACAAATATTAAGGCCTACTAATAAATTTAGAAATTGTGTTTCCGGGCAAAACTATAATAATAAAAAATTTTAAATTAAAAATAACGACAATTTTCGACAGTCGTTCTTCATTATAAACATGCATTTAAATTAAATAAAATGGTTAGTTTTAAAAAGCTGCTTTAATGTTTTTTGTTCTATCTCTTATCTATTTTATTTTTATATAGGAAGACCCCCTTTAATTTTACATCTCTAACGCATAGCGTTTACCAGCACTGAAAAAATAAACGAAGAGCGAAGTGTATTTTTCAGCTTTTGATGTACAATTCTGCGATGGACAAGGACTCTGACAGCACTGTCACATCCTTGGACGAGAACACAGAGAACTTCTGCCAAAATCCCACTCGAGACATCCTCGCCGAAGGAATCACAAATCTCTTCAAGCCGACCATCGAGAAGCTGGACGAGCGGGTGGCCACAACAGTCCAATTGCAGGCGGAGCTGAGGGGTCAGCTGGAAGCACTATCTGCTCAACTGAGGGACATCGAACGGGCACAGAGCCAGATTCCTGAGTTTGCTGACAAGGTCAAGGAACTTCTGAATGTGAAGCACAAAGTGACTGTGATAAGTAACGTTCTGGGAACAAGTCAAGAGAGGCTCACGGGGCTGCATAAACTAATCGAAAAGGAGCAACGCAGGCGACAAGCTCTTTTGGATTCTGCTATCAGCACAAACATATCGTAGACCAGCCAAGATGGAGACGCCCTACACCGACCACCTGACCCGAGAGGACTATGAACATGTCTATGAACCTGCCGAGGACTCTTTTCTTTTGCTCGACGCTTTAGAAAAAGATTTGGATTTTTTAGAGCAATTGAAGCCGAGTCTTTGTGTTGAAATTGGATCTGGTTCGGGAGTTATAATATCTGCTTTGGCCAAAAAACTCGGCATGGACTCAATCTGCCTGGCCACTGATATCAATCTTAAAGCGTGTGATGCAACAAGAAGAACAGCTGTCCGCAATGAAGCCCGCGTGTGCTCCATTCGCTGCAATCTAACAGATGCATTACGTCCGCGTACCGTTGACATCCTTCTGTTCAATCCACCATATGTAGTCACCAGCGATGAGGAGCTTCAAACTCAACGGTTTAATGCAGATGCCGAACCTTCAACTGAACGCAATTTGGTTTTCTCATGGGCGGGCGGGAAGGATGGCAGACGCATCACGGACGTTCTACTTAATAAACTAGATGATGTTCTCTCTCCGGCAGGAGTTTTATATCTGCTCCTTTTACAGGAAAACAAGCCTAACGAAATTATTAAACATCTTGAAAGTCTCCATTTTAGGGCTATTAAGTTCCTGGAACGACGTATTCCTGGTGAATATTTGCACATTCTGAAGGTTACCAGGTCGTCAACATGACGTGCAATTATTACAATTCTATGTAATACTTCTAATTTGTTTATAAATTCGTTTTTATTAAAAATTGTAGACGTATTTAAATAATAAAAAAAAAAATATAAAATATTTACTTCTACTATTTGTCGAGTAGACAATTTCTACATACTACATAATTTTTTTATTTTTCCAATTCAAATTCTAAACTGAAAATTCATCCCCTTATTCAATAATTTTATTTATGCACATCTGTAAACTATTGTCAAAAAAATATAAAGTTGATTGAAATAAAATACATTTGGACATACAGCCAAAGGGGGTAACTCCATTGTTATAAACTTAATAACGTTCTTCCCAAACAAGTTCTCAAAATTGAACTAAAATTTGTAAGCGTCAAAAATACCATATTTCCATTTCTTTACACATATGTACTAATTTTTAGAACTTCTTCCAGCCTTTTTTATGTATTTTCAATCCCACCCAGATTGATGAAAATTGGTACATATTCCGAACCCCCGAAATGTTCACAAAAAGAGGGAGGAGACCGTGTTTGCCAACACTTTATAACAATGGCCAATCAATGAATTATGTACCTTTAGATCCTACCCCTACGCTTCAGTTCCAACACAATTCGTACTTAGGGGGTTGTTGCCCCGCCCAAAAGACAATGCTCGCATGATAAAAAAAAAAACAGCCCCAAAACCAATGAAACAAACTTCTATTGGCATCAATTTGATGTCAATCTGGTATCTACGTATGGTTTCTCTTTTACGTAATTACATAAATTTATTTCATCGTTTCAAAATGTTCCATACTCTCTTTTCGATACGTTGTTTCTATCATTTCGTTTTTATCATTTCACTACTACTGGATGTTATTATTTTGTTTTTCGAAAATACATACGTTATTTACAAAAAATTCATGGCTCTTCAACATTATCTGATAACGCTTATTCGTCAGCAAATAAATTAGTTTTAATTTTATTATCCAGCTTTTGATACTAAATTTAAGCTTAAAGGCTTTAAATGCCCTTCGCTGTTTAATCTGGGTCAGTGGATTTACTGTATATAAGTTTACTTTTGTTTATGGTGTATGTTGGTGTTTATTGGAGAATAGCGTTGGGGGACTTTGGGAGGCACTCCAATGCTGAGTACCTTGATTGACCAAATGTGCACATTTCTTTGATAAATATCAGTCATTATATTTTGACAACTCTGTATTTGTATAAATATGTTCTTGAATACCCTTACTATAGATATTTGTAACATTAAAAGTTTATTTCTTGCTCTTTTTTGTTTTGTGGATCAGTTTTTACAATTTACAAATGAGTAAGGATTATCGATTTGCGGGCACAATTTTCAACAGAAAAATGAACCTTTCATACTAATACTGACATAAGTACTTAAAATTAAGCATAACTAACATCTAAATGCTGAAAAGAAATAGGTTAGAAACCAAACTTCCCGGTGTTTTCTCTTCCCTTATTTTTTTTTCAAAACACTCCCCAAAAGCGAAGACCAAGAACGTTGCAGTCCGTGGGAGGGTGTGAAGGGTGGTAGCACTTCTGCATGGCCACAGTGAGTGTACAGTGAATGCGAAAAGTTTCAAACCATAGCTAAAACTAATGTCATCGAATGTATGTCGGGAATTGTAGTCCGTTCTGATTTATTTAAATAAAATTTTTATGTTTTATTTGTTTTGTATTTAATTGCATTTGCCGTTTCTTTTTCATTTTGAATTTTTGTATTTTTTCTTTCGATCATTCATAAATGTAACGTCTAATTTTAATAATGAATTTCAATAATTTGTGTGGATGTGTCTGTGTATAATTCATGGGCCTTGTTTACGCTACTTTTATAATCTTTGTATATATTTTTACGCATAAGCTTTGCGTTTAAATTAGGACTTATAACATAAAGGAAAGAAAGATTTTGGTTTTGTTTTTTTTTTTTTTTTGTTGTATACAGTGGGGATGTTTACTTTTTGTCGGTTGTCGTAAAGATTAATTTTATACGAACATGCCTTGAATTACAATTTTTGTTGGTTTTGTAGTTTTTTATAAAAAAAAGTACACATAAAATACAATTAAAATAAGGTAAGAAATAAAAAATTATTTCTTAAACATAAAAATTATATACTTTTGCGATTTTTTTGTGGTTTTTTTTTACTCTCCTTGTGGTTTATTTTCTGGTTGTTGGTTTGTTTTTTTTTTTTGTATTTGTTTTGTTTTGCTTGTAACTTTTATTTATTATTAATTTAATTTTTTTTTTTTTTTGTATTTTTGACTACATTATTATTACGCCTGATCGTCCGAGCCGGAGCCGTCATCGTTATCATCGTCATCGTCTAAATTATAAGGAGAAATTAGTTAATTAGTTGTCTCGAACATTCCACAAATCATATTAGGACTCACCATCACATTCAATATCGTCCTCCTCGCCATCGTAGGGGATGTCATATTCGTCGCTCTCAATTTCACTGTCGCCCTCGATGAGTTCTTCCAGAACCTCTTCCTCATCGGAATCACCATCAGCAGCCTTCTTGGCTTTCTTTGATTCGGCGGATTTAGCCTAAAGAGAGAATACATAAGGAAAATGAGCAAAGGTTTGGTTTAATTTTCAGCGATAACGAATAGGGTCCCATGCGCCCAACTCAAACCCACACATCTCCTTGATCAAGGGCATCCCATTCCCCATTTTTGCGGTGCGTGTGTACATAGTCATAAAATGTATATTTTCAGCCCACAAACAGGCAGCCAAGAAAATCGTTATTTTCGCCGTAAAATATTTAAAAATGCGCGCGCCAACCTAATTCGCTGCGGCAATGAGAGAGGATGGGTCTGAGAGAAAATTACATGAGCAGCTGTGTTACATGAGCATATAGAACTTAATAGGCGGCACATTTACCACATAGAGAAAAAACAATAAGCGACGCCGACTGCGACATATGTATCCGCATCCGTGAGATACGAAACGAATCGAAAGCAAGCAAGCCAAGCGTGCCATGTAAGATAGAGCGGAAGAAAAAGAGAAATAAAGAGAGTGCTGCGAGCGGTCCCAGACACAGAAACTGTACCTGAGAACTCGTCACGACAAAGTTGCATGAATGAATCCCTCTCTGTCTCTCTGTGACAGCTGCTGCAGTAAAAAAAAGGCGCAAAACAGCAACACTCTCGTGCTCGTGCGTGGGCTCACCTCTGCTAGCCAACCAACAACAACCATCCTCACTGGAATGCTATGGAACGGTATATAAGCGGTCACGTTCCCAAATCAAAGAGTAGCCGCAATACATGGCCCTATTTACAGGACTGTTACAAAGCTGCGAAACAAGCGGCTTGGTGAAGTATGTGCGAAATTGATCCCAATCCACCTAGGCCCTCTTCCTTACCATTCTCTTACAACACAAGTCACGAGACTAGGAACCTAAGTAATGGAAATTGTAGGGAAGCAACCGTATCTGTCCGCTACTATCACCCAGAAACATATACTCTGGGGAATGAATCAATTACAAACACTATCCATAATTACCTATCAATATATTAGAGTGTTAGAATCTGTCATATCTATACGATACTATCCCAAGTAAGGTATGTACGTATACGAACATGCTTTAGGAATGGATTCAGTGTTAGCATTTCTGAGCATAAGAATATACCTTACTTTCTACGAAAAACTATTTTTCATTCTGCCTTTATTCCCTCTATAACATCCCTTATAGATAAAAATGGGCTCTACAACGCCGGGACACCCTGTAGAACAGTCTTGTTTTATGTACCAAAATAAATACGCATAAAGCAGAGCACAAAATAGAAGATAAATGTAAGCACAAACGCAAACAGACAAACGTCCAAGTATATGTACAATTACGACAAAATAAGAGAGCGCTCGGGTTGGGGGAGTGTGAGAGTCTTTGAACGATGAGGCGTAGAGTTGCCTACTCTCGGAGAGGGTGCACGAAGAGCGCGCGCTCCCGTTAAACTGTACATTTTTATTTCGAGTTTGAGTTTGTAAATCGCTTGATTTGCCAATTTGTGTGCCTACTGACCGAACTATTTTATTTTTATCAGGCTATGTGCTGCTGCTCGATTATGGAATGTGGGGGCATTCAGTTCCCCAAACCCCCTCCTTCCTTGGAGCGCATTTTTCATAATGTTGCAAAACACAACACGTCTTATTTACCGGCCGGCAATGTTTTCATTGAGAGAGTGCATGGGCATTGCAGTAGCATGTATACAATGAATAAGGCCAAGACAACGAGTTGGGCCTCTACATATCTATTGCTTATCCTAACAATGAATTATTCTATGTATGTAGTATTTTTTGGCTTCGACCTCGCGGTCACGTCAATGTTAATGACTTTCCTAGGAATTAGTTGCAGCAGTATAGGGTTTTTCCACTCCCATCCCACTCCTGACTAACTGTAAGCTCAAGTCCCTAACTCTAGGTTAGCTCTTTAACCTCGATTTGAACCTAACAACAATAATCTTCGATTACCGACCCTCTATCGGAGCGCTGTTAATCGTAAACAACACACTGTGGCAAATGGAATAAGTGCGCGCTCTCCCGTTCTCTCGCTCTTCTCGTTTAAGTATATAAGCCACTGAGAGAGCCCGCTGAGGAAAAACGTGTGTGTATCTATTTCTAGAACTTTTCTCACTACGAAAAGTGGAACTCGCGATGTTGAAGTGAATCATTTTGGGAATTTTAGCGCGTAAACAAATCAAACTTACTTCGGCAGGCCTCTTGGTGCCTTTCACTGATTCCTTTGCGGGGGCAGCAGCGGCGGCGGCATCCTCGCCGTCCTTCGCCGTACCGTTATCGGCCGCATCTCCAGCGGCGTCGGCCGCGGGGGCCTTATCCTCGGCGGCGGCCTTTGCTTTAAGATCGTCCTTCACAGCGGCGACATCGTCCGCTGCTACCTTCTCAACTGCAACATCCCCATTGTTTTGTTGTTCTGTGGCTGCCGACATTTTTTTGTTTTTTTTTTTTTTTCTTCCGGAACTTGGATAATTTGAATAGAGTCGAATCGATAACGATTTAGCAGTTTCTGTGTGAAGAACAGGAGTGGATTTTTGATTGTGAATTATTGCTGTCTGAAGAACAGGAGTCGATTTTTGGTTATTCACAAAAGATCAGCGCAAAACACTCGGGGAACGACAGTGGGAACCGCACCGCACGAAGTACACAAACACATTAGCTGCTCCTCAGCTGCGTCCTGTGTATTTAAGCCCGCGCTTTCGTCGTCTTTCTTTTCTCCCTGTCGTTCACCCTCTCTCTTTCGCTCGCTCTCTGACGCGGGTCGCTTATCTCTCTCCCACGCAGCGGCCACGCTCTCAATGCAATACACTGAAAAACCTCCGCGGGATTTGTACAGCCGCAGTCGATGGCGGCAGCGCCGAGAGAGAGGACAACAACAACAGCACCAGTATTGGAGCGCCCCAGAGCCAGCGAAAGATTTTCTAACATTTTGCAGTGATTTTTTGTTCGATTCAGTTTATATAGTATAGGAAGGTCTATCAGCAGGCTGGCCCGCAATATTCTAAACTAAAAGGATTGTATGAAGAGCAGGGCCCGCTTATAGACCCCCAAATATTGGTATTTTAGTTTTTGTCCTGACCACCGATATGTTTACCCGTCGACGCCTCGTACAAGACTAAACTTGCCAACGTTCGGATGACTACAATTTTCCGTTTGCTTCTTCTTCATCAAAATTGGTCGATACAGTTTTTCGCCTATATCTCGGATACCTTTGTTTGAATCGGGTCTGAAATCAATCGAGGCTATAGCTTAGTGTATCCTCTTCATTATGAGGCTTTTTCCGAGTCGCTTCGATCAAAACAAGATAGGGAATTGACAAGTTGAGTGGGTTTCTTGATTAATTCCATACAAAATCTGCTTGGGTTTCGTGAGTACAGTTGTCAGCGTGTTTGGCGCTAAATTTGAAAATTGCCGGCCGTGTAGAGTGCGCACCACCGTTGGATGGATGACTAGTCTAGGGGTGAAGGTGGATGGAAGGGGGTGTGCAGTGCAGTCACTCTTTGGCGGTTGGTCTGTCGGAGGCGCCAATGGGCGGGCTTGTGCGTGAGAAAGCCTCGGCGCTGTTGTTGCCGTTGCTGATAGGAAGAAGTGTTGCAGCGTTGTTGCTGCAGATGTGTTGTATTTGTAAGTTGAGTGAGAGGGAGCGCCTTTTCGTTCTTATTTATAGAGTGGACCAGCGTGGGCAGCAATGTCTTTCCGGATTGGGGTCAATTGATTAGTGAAGTGCGGGAAAAAGCAGGTGATTTCCACGGTGGATCTATTTTTACGATTATAAAGATTTAATTGTTCAAAATTGGCAGAACAATAACGCAGCAAATGACTAGCATTTAAATTTAAAATGTACATACATACGTACATATAGAATAATATTTTTCAATGTTTTTGGTTAAAACGCCTAATTAAAGAAATGTTAATTATTCAAATATTATGAAAATATTAAGGAAGAACAAGAGTTATTCATTTTTCGTTTAATGACAACATGTTTATTAAATGACCAATAATATTTTACTTGTTTAATTTTCATAGTTAATATTTAAGTGTGGCTCATATTCGAACATGGTTCACCCGAATTCTTGATTCCGTGCCATGCCATTCTGTAGATCTCGCATTTGTGCGCCGGCTATTTCATGGTTCTGTTCGTTACAATCGGCCAAATATTTTCAGAAATTATACGAGAATTGCCGACTCAGCTACAAAATATAATCTGGTTATCAAGAGCAACATTTTTGCATTTAAATTTATGTATTTGTTTATATTTTTTTATAAAACTTACACAAACTCTGAAAATTATTATTGCAAGGATGAATGAGTTTCCTGCATAATTTAATAACGGTACTCTCTAGTCGAGATCTGTCAGTTCAGAAATATTTCTTAGCTATTTTTGTGCAAAGAGTATACATATGTATGTAAGTTTTCTTTCGTCGACAGAGCGTCGGGGTCGCTAATTAAGGGGTTATATACAGTTGTACCGCGCAAAAATATGTATTTTTATCGATTTTTTTTTGACACCATAGAAAATATTTATGAAAAATGTTTTACCGACGTTGTTTAGTACATGTTTCTATGTACTTAATTAAATTTTTTCATAAAAAGATATTACATAACAAAAATGTTATAGCCGAATTCCCGAATCGTCTTTTTTCGATGGTGTCTTGCGGTGGACATGATTTCTCGAAAACGGTTCATCCGAAATCCAAAATTCAAAAAAGTTTAGTTAGTATTTTGTATTATCTAGTCCGTGAACGAGGGATTTTTTAAAATTTTGATTAAAAAAAAAAATGGCGACGTTTGAAACAAAAAATTTACTTTTTCAAGGTATAAGATTTTCGTTTTTTGTGCTTTAAAAAGGGAGTTTTCAAAAAAATGGAAAATCCCTCGTTCACGGACTAGCTAATATCATAATAAATATGTGGTCAAAATTTGGTGTTGATCGGATTAGTAGTTTTTTAGTAATCGTGTCCACCGCAAAGGTAATTTCCCAAAAAAAAGATTCTGAGATAATCGCGTTTAAAGTTTCAAGTTTGTTCAAGTTTTATATGCAGATAGTGTGCTATAAATAGCTACAGCTTCGGATCTAATGCTCCGATCGTTATCAATTTTTGTGGGAGTACACCCAATAGAATATACTTAAAGAATATGCAATAAAAAAAAAATCGATTTTTTCATATATCACAACTGTATATAACCCCTTAAAGCCGGCGAACCTGTTCTGAGGCATCGGCGGTGGTAAACACCTGTAATCGCGAGCACTCCATTGAGTTATCACATATTTGAGCAGCCAAGGCAGCAGCAACAGTGATGACTTTTCGCTGACCGTTGCTGATAAGCTGATTTGCGCCGTCGTTTTGCAATGTGGTTTTTGGCTTTTCTTGCCTTGTGGCTTTCTTCTTTCTTTCCGCCCTCTCAGTCTTCATCCAAGTGGCTTTCGGTTTGTTTCCCCACAAGATTTTGCGCTTTGGCCCATTGTGGCGATATGAATCAGATTCCACATGAAGCTTCGAAGACTCCCAGTGCCTCTCTGGTCAGTGAACAATGGTATCTAGATATCAGAAGAGAACCTGTGCCATTTTCTCGCCGAATAGAAGATACCGGGGTGTTGCAATTCTTTCAAATTCAAGGTTAATCAGTATCTCAAAAAAAGAAGCTGAAAAAATGAAATACAGGAAAGGAGAAACGATATTTAACCTTTGTGGAAAACAACACATCTGCCAAATGTCCATAACCTAACCTAAGTTTATTGCACTGCATTGAATCTTTTGTTCCTTGTAAAACTTTAAAAACGCAGTTTTAGGTTTTTAAGACAATATCTCAACCTAACATTCCATTTTTTCCCAGTGCACCCTACGCATTTCGTCATTACGTTGCTGTAGCATAAAGGTGTGAACGATCACATGTACAAGCGGGTACCTCATTTACAACCAGTGCTAATATACATACATACATATCTGTAATGAGGTTGTTAGGCTTTCATGGGAAGTAAGAATCGGTTGGGTCATTTTTTAACACCTTATTTAAACTTTTTATTTTTTGATACATATTTTTTCCCCTAAAGACACTTTTTCTATTGATTTTACTGAAGAGAATTAATAGCTTATTACCCTATAAACTTTATAGTGGTTATTTTTATAAATTTTTTAATAATATGCGTTTACTTTACTTTGATACTTTTGCGGATAAAATTAAATGAGGACTATAATAAAATTCAAGGGTATTCAAACTTTGCCACGGCATGCTTTCCTGTCTCGTTCCTACAAAAATACATACTCAACCGTTTTAGGGTATATTGACTTCTTGGGAATTTATGCCTCAGAGAAATACTAAGACCAAAGCATAGACAAAGAATATACACAATTTTTTACTTTGGATGAAAAACCTTAATGTATGGTAGAAATATAAGGTCGTTAGGATGAAGTAAGCTTGATAACTTCTATTTATTTTTAAAACAAAATTACAAATATGTACATAATAAATATTTTTGTTTGTAGAAAATCAATAGTTTTTCATTAAAAAAAAAATGGGATTTTCGGCATTTTATGAGGCATGGTTTAGTTTGATTATACGGATTCGCATTTACATAGCTAATATTCATAGTCCAGGCCCTCATAAGGTGCCTCGGGTATTTGTAAGAAATACATAAACAGGTTTACGACTCGATTAGAGCGACTGTTGAGTCTAACGACTTTTGTTGGCCAGATAGGCGGTTGGCTTGGTCTGGCTCCAACTTCGGTTGAAGTCTCAAAGACTTTCGGAAAGCCCTCTCGTATCTCGTTTAACCGGCATGTGCTAATGTTGTCTCGAGAGTGCCGGGTGGTACATGTATTCTTGGCAAACTGCTCTCACTTGTTCACCCGTTTTACCTACGTCAACCTCCGGCTCAAACGCAATTATTAAAATTAATTTAAACAGCCCCATTGTCTTCGATTCTCAATAGCTCACTACTTGGCTCCCACCGTTGCGGGAACGTGCGGACTAAGGGAGGTGAATGGCGATTCGTATCCCTGAGTGGCACCCGTGACGTAGGAACGAAAGGAGTGACCTGAGGAATGGGCATCCATGAATGAATCATTCTGGTAAAAGATGAGCCAAAATGGGATCATAGACAGCGTGTGGCTGGGTACTAGAAGGCACTTTGAAAATAAACTGCTGCGAGTGGATTTCCCGCGTCCGTTTATTTGTGTGTTTTAGTTTGAACGGGCTTGTTGAGGCTCACCCAAAAAACCGTTTATTTTTAAAATAATTAAATTTTTATGTGTATGTATTGGGAATGCTACATTGGCATACATCTTACATACACTTCCATGTTTTCGACTGAGCGCCTGAGGTAATAGGTTATTAAAAATGTCAAAGGTGGGTTGTAAAATTGAAAAAAAAAATTAGATTAGCCTTTTAAAGGCACGAAAGCTTTGACTTTATTTCTTTGCCTACGGATGATCTATATTATTATTTCCGTAAAATGTGCGAATAGTTAAAAAATTGTCTTCAAATTTACCCGCCATTTGGTGAACCACTTTTGGGGGGCTAGTTCAGAAAGATTGAAACCATTTGTCATTTCCTAAAAAAAAGAATAGTTTTTTATGAAATATTTTAGCTGCCACCTTTCGGTAATGACTGCGTTAAAATCAGATCCAAAAGGGTGAAACATTGTAAGCATAATTTTTTTCCCCTACATAAACGTCGTTTGGCATTTTTGAATACTGTTTTGCAGCATTTTTCAACACACATTTGGCGTCAAACACAGGGTTGCGTTTCTAGCAAGACGTCTAATGACCTTGCCCTGACATTGCCGCAGACAGCAATTGCGGTGGAGAGAATTTGCGGCATAATCAGCAGTCATATTCAGGACATTGCTAGCACGCTCAAAAAAACTCTTAAAAATGGCTTTTAACAAACTAAGCATCGAAAGTTTGGAATTAGATGGAAAGCGGGTGCTGATGCGGTAATTCTAAAAACTTTTAAAAGTCAAACCAATCCTTCATATAAATCCGTTGCATAAACTCAAAATTTCTTTTTTAGAGTGGACTTTAATGTTCCCATCAAGGAGGGCAAGATCACCAGCAACCAGCGCATTGTGGCTGCTCTGGACAGCATAAAGTTGGCCCTGTCAAAGAAGGCCAAGTCCGTAGTGCTAATCTCCCACCTGGGTCGTCCGGATGGCAACAAAAACACCAAATATACTCTGGCTCCCGTCGCTGAGGAGCTAAAAACTCTGCTGGGCCAGAACGTAACGTTCCTGAACGATTGTGTGGGCAATGAGGTGGAGGCTGCCTGTAAGGATCCCGCTCCTGGCTCTGTTATCCTTTTGGAGAACGTCCGCTTTTATGTTGAAGAGGAGGGAAAGGGCGTCGATGCCAGCGGGGCTAAAGTAAAGGCCGATCCTGCCAAGGTGAAGGAGTTTCGCGCCAGCCTTGCCAAGTTGGGCGATGTCTACGTGAATGATGCCTTTGGCACGGCCCACCGTGCCCACAGTTCCATGATGGGCGATGGTTATGAAAAGCGAGCTGCAGGTCTGCTCCTTAACAAGGAGCTTAAGTACTTCTCTCAGGCTTTGGACAAGCCACCAAATCCCTTCCTGGCCATCTTGGGCGGAGCAAAGGTCGCCGACAAGATCCAACTTATTGAAAACTTGCTGGATAAGGTTAATGAAATGATCATTGGTGGTGGCATGGCCTTCACTTTCCTCAAGGTCCTCAATAACATGAAGATTGGAGGCTCCCTGTTTGACGAGGAGGGCTCTAAGATAGTCCAAAATCTGGTGGCGAAAGCCAAAAAGAATAATGTCCAGCTGCACCTTCCCGTGGACTTTGTTTGTGGTGATAAGTTTGCAGAGAACGCTGCTGTAAGCGAAGCCACCGTGGAGGATGGTATTCCCGACGGGCACATGGGTCTGGATGTGGGCCCCAAAACTCGGGAGCTCTTCGCAGCTCCCATTGCCCGCGCGAAGCTGATCGTGTGGAACGGGTAAGCCTATGATTTAGCTTTTATATTTCTTACTTTAATTCGTTTGTGTAACTTTTCATGTTGACAGACCACCTGGCGTTTTCGAGTTCCCAAACTTTGCCAATGGTACAAAGTCGATTATGGACGGTGTGGTGGCGGCCACCAAGAACGGCACTGTTTCCATCATCGGCGGCGGTGATACTGCCTCGTGCTGCGCCAAGTGGAACACGGAGGCTCTTGTCTCGCATGTGTCTACTGGTGGCGGGGCGTCCCTGGAGCTTTTGGAGGGCAAGACACTGCCAGGCGTGGCCGCTCTGTCTAGCGCCTAAAAACCCAAAGACAAATATCTCTGGCTATATTATTTGTATATTTTTAAGCACAATACCACTATGTAAAAGTTCAAGTTTAATCTTTAAACTATTTGTTGCATAACCATTACATGTTTGAATATGCATGTCAAATAAAGGAATTTTAGTTTACTTGCGAGCAAAGTTGGTGTTCATGGAGGAGGCGGTGCGTTGTATGTTGTTCAGGTTGGCCCGTATGCGATCGCCGATTGAGTTCTGGTTAGCTATCGCCTTCTTAACCTCCTTGTTTATAAACTCCTTGTCGAATTCGCGTTCTTGGTGTTGGGCTTCCTCCTTAGCGTATGCCTCTCGGTGTTTGCGCACCGCCTGGCTGCGATCTGCCTCTCTCCAGGTGGCATTGTCCATCATCTCGCGCAAGCGGGCTTCCCGATCAGCTTGGCTAAGCTTGGGTTTTCCACCGTGTCGGCCGGGAGGGGAAGAACGCTTGGATGGAGGATCCCTGTTTCGGCTTTGGGGTTGTTGTCTTGTGCAATAAAGTTGGGGACTGCTTGTGCTGGTTGAGCGATTCTCGGGACTCCTGCTCCTGTGTCTCTCTCGATGCAAGGAAATATTTTTTCTTCCGTCGGTACTTTTGCTTCTCCTGGTTCGCCTCGCCTCCGGACTCCTCCTCCTCTCTCTCCTCTTTTCAGGACTTCTCCGGCTTTCACAGCTTTTTTCCAAATTCCTGTCCCTTTTCCTACTTTCCTGTGGGCTGCGACTCCTACGTCGCGCGTTTCTATCTTCATGACTCCTACTCCTTCCTTTACGCCTTTGGTCTTGATATCTGGAAGCCGGACTTCTGCTTCGTCGGGGCCTCTGCGGACTTTCCCGGCTTCTTATCCAGGATTTTTTTTGTTCTTCTGATTCGATATGGCTTTCTTCACTGCTGTGGCCACTTTTCCTCTTGGATTTTTTTGTCTTTTTTTTTTTAGTAGCCATGTCAAGTTGTTTTGATATAGTGCGATATTTTGCATCCAAAAGTTTTTCTAGTTTGAGCTCACTATTGTGGGAATCTCCTTTAAGTTTGCTAACTTGGCGAGCCAACTTTCGGTCTAAATCCTCATCAGAGTTACTATCGCTACTTGAGTCCCCATCATCACTCGAATTTCTACTCTTTTTCTTCTTTTTTTTAGATTTTTTGCTTTTTTTTGATTTTTGTTTCTCATTGGCGACTTTTAGGTCTTGCTCAGTTTTAAGGATTCGATGAATTTCCTTTAGCTTAACGGGATTCTCCAGAAGTTTGCGCCGTGATTCCATTTCACGTTGTTTAATGAGCATAAGCGGATCTTCGAGAGTCTTCCGCTGTAAGTCCACTTGCTCATTCGACTGCAAGTTGCGGTACTGTCTGATGGAGAAGGGAACGCACTCGTGCTCAACATGGTTGATCGACTGCTTGACGCCTATTACGTTCTGCTCCTGACGTCGCTCCTCGGCTTGAAGCGTCTCAAAGGACTTGTCGATCTTTCGTCCGAGAAGGTACTCCTCGCGGTTAATAAGCTCGGTGCTGTCTGAATCAGAAAATAACTAAGTAACTCAGTAACTTAGCAGGCCTTGTGAAAATAATACATACTTTTGTACATCCATTCCAACTTAGCCTCGCCGGCAGCTCCACCACTTCCGGACAGCACTCCACTGCTCTCGCCTAGTCTCTTTAGTTCTTCTCTGTCCCGCTCCTCGTTTATTTCCTTTCGGAGGTCTTGCAGTTTCTGTTCCTCCATTTTTGCTTGCTCCTCTGCCTTCCAAACACGCTCCTGATTTTTCATTGTGTTTGGATGCCATGATTTTTTCAGATTCTATGGAAGAGTTCTATTGATTTCAGTTTTTTATTTGAATAGATGTGAAAAACTCACCAGATCCCCGCCACCCATGGTTGCGGTGCCTTAAATGCACAGGGAAAATAACTTATTTTAAATAAGAATAATGAGAATGTTTTGTTTCCCTCCTTTTAGACGTTCTCATCAGATGGTACGGTTTGGAGTTGCCAGACTGTTTAAGGCAGAGTGACCAAGCTTTTAGTGGCCAGGGTAAATGTTACAAAAAAAAGGAATCCAGTTTGGGCGTAGCCGAAGTTCTTATACTCTGGCATTTCAGCTCGGACATATATCGAAAATATCTGTTATAGTTGGCCGATGCTTATATAAATCAGTAGATGACCATCTGATGGATCAGTTTGCCAAACATAGAATCCGTATAAAGTTTCAACCTTTCATCTTCAAAAACATGAAAGTTTGGTCATTTCCGATCGTTTAGTTATATAGCCGCTGTAGGGTAGAGTCGGCCAATCCTTATGGTATGGATTGGTAGCTCGGATCAATTGACCAAAAAAAATATCCGTAGAAAATCCCATCTCTCTAACACAAAACACAGCAAAGTTATGGCATTTCCATACAAACATATATACACTTGCACACTGGAAGGGTAAAAAAAAAACATATAAATGGTAATATTATTTCTATTACTTAACTTTGAGTTGTCACTTCTTGTAACTCCTTCCATGTCCATTGCTGAAAGAATTGGAATGGGATTAATCGAGCCAAATCTTTATTCTCAACGCCAGGGCCGTAGCTAGAGCCTCGGGGGCCCTGGGGCTACAAGTAAATTTGGGGCCTCCTATACGGAAGTCTTTTGCCCCGGTGGGGCCCCTTCCCTTCGGGGGCCCTTGGGCACCGCCCCACCTGCCCCATGCTAGCTACGGCCCTGCTCAACGCCTTTTTTCATATTTTCATCTTTGTGATTTTCATCACTTCTTTTTTCAAATCCGAAAAATAGTGGACTTGTTGGAGAAGAAAGGGACGAGTATTACAAAGTATGTATCTGCTGGAGAGGCCAAAACTCATGAACAGGCAAAGCAAATTTGATAAAAAAAAAAATCAAAAAATTAAGTTCAGTTAAATAAAAAACTTCCATGCAATATCAATTCTGTTTATAACCTTTAACCCTTAAATATTAAAGGAATATTTTTTCAAAATACCGTTTCAAAACTAATCAAAAAAGAACAAATAATAAATACTATTAAAAATTCCATGTTAGGTTCCAGCTACTCCATTTTGGGGTTTCAAAATTTTCAAATTTGATCATTAAAAAAAGTGTCCAGAATGTTTGTTGTTCATCGTCCTCTATTCCATTTGCAAAAACGGGTCTACCATTTAGGGCCACACAAATTACAGCCAAACTGCCTTGAAGTTCTTAAGTTTAAAAACTTAAACACTCGATTTTTTAGCAAAAAAAATGAGTGCCACAAAACCGGAAAGTCTGGGAAAAAAAAGTTGAGTTTAAAAAACGTTGATGTATCTGGAAAACGGGTATTTATGAGGCAAGAATATATAATATTATAATTTCCATTTTTATAAAATTGTAAGTAATTAAACAGAGTCGACTTTAACGTTCCAATGAAGGAGGGTAAAATAACAAACAATCAGCGAATTGTGGCGGCTATCCCAAGTATCAAGTATGCGTTGGAAAAAAAGTGCAAATCTTTGGTATGATTGAGTGCTCATTGCTATTTCAATGCATTACTTTTTAGTATATTTTATTCTATCTTACATCACGATGTATTTGCATACTATTATGTACATATAGCAAAGTTAAAAACAGTTTTAATTATTCGGCATGTGGTTCGTCTCCTACGTGGACTGACGACCACACTGATTTTCAACTCTTCTCAATCTGAACTCCAAATCTGAGTGAATCCAAATCTTCTCCCTATTTTTGTAAAAGGTTTTGGCCTCCCATCTGGGACGTCCAGATGGAAAGAAGAATAAAAAGTTCTCACTGGCGCCCGTGGCAAAGGAGCTGGAGAAGGTTTTGGGAAAGTCTGTGAAATTCTTGGACGACTGCGTTAGTGATCAGACCCTAGAAGCTGTAAAAAATCCTCCCGAAGGCAGTGTCTTCTTGTTGGAAAACCTACGGTTTTATGCAGAAGAAACTGGCAGTAGTAAGGGCGAAAACAAGAAGAAGGTAAAAGCTGATCCAAAGAAGGTCAAGGAGTTTCGTGAAAAACTGGCTAAAATGGGGGAAGTTTACGTTAACGATGCCTTTGGTACTGCCCATCGGCCCCATAGCTCTATGATGGGCGAATCTTACAAGTTGAGAGCATCGGGATTCCTCATGGACAAGGAACTGGAATACTTTGCTAGGGTTCTGGACAACCCGGCGAAACCATTTCTAGCGATTTTGGGTGGCGCCAAGATAGCCGACAAAATACCTCTGATTACCAATCTCCTTAATAATGTCCAGTCCATGATCATTGGTGGAGGCATGGCTTTTACTTTTCTTAAAGTTTATAAAAGTATGGAAATCGGGAAGTCTCTTTTCGACAAAGATGGATCCAAAATGGTAGAAGATATCATCTGCAAGGCGAAGGAAAAGAACGTAAAAATGATATTCCCAGTAGATATTGTCATTGCCAATAGTATGGATAAGCCGAGTGCAGTCGAAACAGTGGATGTAAGGGAAGGTATACCTAATGACATGATGGGCTTGGATGTTGGCAAAAAATCTAACGAGATTTTTGCCCAAGCCATTTGTGAATCCAAAACTATTGTGTGGAACGGTCCACCCGGTCTGTTTGAAGATGACAAATTCGCCAAGGGCACGAAATCCATGTTGGACGCCGTGGTTGAGGCAACAAAAAAGGGGGCGACTACAATTGTCGGTGGCGGTGACACGGCAACGGCTTGCAAAAAATTTGGAGGTGCGGATAAAGTCTCTCATGTTTCTACTGGGGGAGGAGCATCGCTAGAATTGTTGGAAGGAAAGCTCCTCCCTGGAGTGGCCGCACTTTCTGATGCCTAAAAAGTGCGCATTGACTTTTTTATCAAATAATGTATCATTTTATACATAAATTGAACTTCCTAAGAACTCCATTTAAGGGGACCCCCCCCATTCTCGATTTTAAATTTTGACGATTTTCAATGTGCTGGCAAATGAACATAAATTATTTTTTAGGGTTGTAACTGTGCTTACATATATTAAGACACAAAAAGGAAGAAAATCATTTCACAGAATTTTTTTTTGTTTTGTTTTTGTTGTTGTTTTTTGTGATCAAAGAAAAGCCCTTCTTTTCGGCGGCGCATGTGATTTCCGCTCACTGGAACATCTGAATCCAAAAATTCCAACGGGATTAGAAAAAGTACATGTTTGGCTCTCGTATGAACTAGGATTATTAACTTCGCTCAAAAATTAACAAAATGGCGGACCTTTGAAATTTTTTTTTTTAAATTTCCATTATTTTCAGCCATAAATCGAGTTGAAAAGTAAAGAAGATCTTCACCGATTTGATTTATCCTAGTTCATACGAGAGCTATATATGTATAGAACAGAGGTCGGCACGGCCCTATCTCGGGGGCATAGGAAATTTCTCTGCCCGAGCTCTGCCACACACACACAGTATAAATGTGTGAAACGTCATTCTAAAAGCCTACTTTCTGCTATTCGTTACTAACACTAATGCGGTAAAATCATATCAATGTATTGGGGTGCCGACCTCTGGTATAGAATAACGTGTTTAAATTTGGAACCGATTGGATTAATAGTTTTTGAGTAACCTCATGCGCCAGTCGTAAAAACACTGTTTCGAGAAAAACGCGTTTAAAGTTTTGAGACGGCTCTCGCCGTCGCCTGAGGCTTCCACCATAAATCGGCTATATCTTCAAGAGTTTTTGAAATTTTTACTTGAAATTTTCAGGGAACATTCTTGAAAAGTTACAAGTTCGAATTAAATTTAAAAAAAAAAATCGATTTTTTAAAACCGAGAATGGGGGGGGTCCCCTTAAATAAAAATTGCATAAGCCAATCTTAAATATAAAGTATAAGTTTATTGTGGATAACATGACTTGGTTAAAATATGATGAGTCCTTTTCGCCAGTAACAGATGTTGTATAGGACTAACGCAGCCTCTTAAAGCTGCTATCCGTTTCTCAAAATTTTTCATTTAACTAAAAATTGGACATCTCGTGTTCTTTGAACTAAAACCTTTCAAATAGTAACTAATAACCGCAATAAACTAAACAATTTTGGCATTTATCTAACCACTGTGGCTCGCTTTTAATTGGAAAAGTGAACCCATACACATTTTTTAGGCATGTAATCCATACAAGAACTGTTACAAGCGACTCAAAACGAAATAACATATTCTGGCTCAGTCAAAACTAATCAATTCGGCTGTGGCTGGTTCGCCAGATTTTTGTGGAGCCGGATCTGGCTCGTTTTGTGGAGGTGGTGGGGCAGCTGCCACTGCTAAAACTTGAGAGTTGGCTACTTCGGTTACTGGTGGTGGTGCCTGTACAGGGAGAGCAGGCTGATTTGCGAGAGGCGGATGGGATTGGGGTAGCTGTTGCTGCTGCAACATTACGTGAGATAATTGTGGCTGTGGTTGCTGTTGAACTGGAACTGGCTGATGTTGCTGTTGGGGCTGCCCAGGGATTGGCTGCGGTTGACCCGGGATTGCCTGTGGTTGCACCGGATGAGCCTGAGGCTGTTGAACCGGTAGCTGATGTTGCGCCGGCTGACCTGGTGCCTGCTGCAGGATCGCTGGATTATTGGTAAATTGATTTTCTGGCATGGTCGGCACCATTTGACCATTACCCGGCTGGGCCGGCGGCTGCTGGATCAATCCACCAGGCTGTTGAAGATTTGGTGGTATTTGTTGAGGCATGGCCGGATTGTACATGCCGGGTGGGATACCTTGAAATTGTCCATGACCATTCAGCGCGGGAGCCGGCCCGGGGCCACCTCCTGGGTATCCTGGAATACAAGCAGCATAAGGATTGTAAACATTGTTTAGTTGATGGGAAGGTGATCCATGCTGAGGCACAGACGATGGCGGTAAGTAGGGGAATGGGGGTGCAGCCTGGCCCATCAAATACTGAGCCTTCTGTTGCTCCTGTCGCAGTTGCATCTCACGCTCCTGCTCCTGAATGCGTTTTAGAGCCAACTGCCGCTGGTATTGCAAATATTCTTGCTTTTTCTGACGCATAAGCTCCAGTTTCTGGGCCATCTGCATTTGTCGTTGGCGCTCCTGCTCCTCGGCAATACGACGCAATTTCTCCACGTGCTCCTGACGCAACTGGTCAAGCGCTGCTCTCGAGTCTTTTATCTGGGTAAGTTTGTCCTGCAACTGCTCGTACCACATCCGCTTGTCGTCCATCTCCTTGATGTACGATAGCTGCTGCGAATGCAAAGATGTCAGGGTCATAAAGAGGGTCTGGACTGAGGAGTCATTAGAGATGCTTCGTCCACGGCTTGAGTTCGATTTCATTCGATTTACAAAAATTTCCACCTGTGTGCGCATGTTAGAAGCAAAATCGTCGATTTGAACTTCATCGGCACTTTTTGCTTGAAGAGGGATACTTTGTAGAGGCTGTGGGGTTGGCGGCATGGGACTTGGTGCTGATGGGCTAGCCATTGAGGAAGACTCGCTAATTTTGCGTTGCTCCCAATAGCTACGGTTCAAATACTTGGCAAGCTCTGGATTGCTTGTCTCCTCTATTGTTTGTTGATATTCCTTGGGGGCAGGCGGTGCCTCGGGACTTGGTGAACGCTGCGGCATTCTGTAAGCGGCTGCTGCCGCTGTCAAGGATTGTTGCTTCTGCTTTTGCTGCTCAGCTTCAGACTGGCTAAGGGCTAGTGCTAGCTGTAGCTCCTCCTCCTCCTTTAGTTCTTCCTCGCTTTTTCGGGCCGGGGTCTAAAAAAATTGTATATATTTTCATTATTTTGGAGATAAGCTCATAAACAGATTAATTGATTAGTTCAGACTAATCAGGTTAATTCCTTTTTCTCATAGCCGACTTACTTGCACTTGCTGGGACAATGAACTGTTTAAATATTCCGCCGGCAGGTCACTGTCCGCCACTCGAGATCCAGATTTGGTGCCACTCATCGGACGTTGGAGGGCCACAAAGCAACCGTCGCACACCCGAACATCCTTCTCGATCCCATACTTGGGCAAAGGACACTGCTTGGCCGTACACTGGCCGCAAAAGACCTGGCCACAGTTTCGGCAATGATGTTTGCGATTGGTAAAGGTAAACTCTACCCGACAGCGATGGCAAACTTTTCCATCTGCCCAGTTGGGCGCCGTGTCAGCCGTAAACATTGCATCCGCCTCTCGGAGCTCAGGGAATGTGTGACCCTTCGCCTTCAGAATGGTCATGGTATCCTTTAAAAAATTTTAATTAAAATTGTAAGTGAATTGTGGCAGTAAGCCTACTAGATATTCCTCATCTATGCTTAGTTCTTCCTCAGAGCTCATCTTTACTCAGCTGATGACTTCTTACTAAATTTTTACTCAACAGCAATTGAGGTTCGCTAATTAAATTACATGTCATGTGACAGGGCCGGTTTGGGTGGTAAAAGGGTTAAATATGTGTACACATACATATGTATGTGTAAAATCTAGAGAATTGAGACACTCTTCATTCATTTTGAATTAAGGTTTAGAGTCACCAGAAATAATCGCACACTGTTTTTTGAGTTAAAGAGAATAAAACCGCACGTCCAACAAAGACAGTTGCATTCCAAATGAACAAAAGATAATCTCATGCTGAGGACTTTTTTCGATAAGATTGGAAAGACTCCATTAGTCACCTTTAACAATAACAATCCAAGAAAACAAGGGATCTTACTTTTATGGCTTGATATTTATCCGAGGAGCGAAAGGCGTAGGCCCATGTCTGGACCAGTTCTAGCATCTTCTGGCGCACATTCTCATGAGGAGTGGACTCCAAGAAGCTGCTGAACATCTCGCAGTTCTCCTTGGTGAACACCTCCTCGTGCACTGGAGCTCCACAGTTCTTTACAATGCTTTCCAAGACCAAAAGAGAATAGCAAGCAGAGTGTGGGTTGGGGGAATTCATCTTTTTCTTAATTGCGGCAAAAGCATTTTTTGGGCTGCAAAATAAGAGGTTTAATATGCAAATAGTCAAACTTAAATAAACTTACGTGACATCTTTCTGGTTGATTTCATCGCAAATAAGAAGAATTGAGGGCCAGTCGGGCTCCAATCGTAAGTGGCTTGTGGCATTTTCTGTCAAGTAAACGCAATTATAATAAGTCCCTTGTGTGTTACTTTTTTCAACACAGAAAGTTCATTAGCTTTATTTTTTTTCAATCTCTGATGAGTCATTTTTTTTCAACGGCCTTTGTGCTTTTTTCAGCTAACTTATTATTATTCTTACCTAAGTTTTTGTCGAAGCTAGATCGAAACATGTTCGTGGATCTTTTCCGCTGCTCCTTGTATCTAATTTATTTTCCGAGTTCCCAGAATAAACAATAATCAGCTGAATGTTAGAAATAGAAAATTCGCAAGACAATATGTATTGGAATTGTTATCGATAAGTTCAGTGTTGTTAAATCAAAATTTTATAAATGTTTGGCAGCGCCGGTACCAAGTGGATGTTGCCACATTTATCAAGTGAGAGTTGCCAAGTCGCAAAGTATTTTATTGGGTAAAGTAAATATTTGAAAAACGCACGGTTATTGTTTAAATTGTTATTTGGAGCCAAATAAATCCTCCAAGAAAAGATCCGAGGAAAGGAGCCGCTCCTATTAAAATAGGAGGTGATTCTAGAAGTGTAGGATATCATCCTCATTATCCACAGTAGCTTCGGCTCCCCTTATTATCCATCCGACCTTCACCCACCCAACGATCCGTGTTGGATTCGTTGACTTTAGTATTTTACTATTATTTTGATGTAATATCCGTAATAAATACAATGTAAATTTTTAAAAATTAACTTTCAATAAAATGACACTTGAAAACTTTTATTTCAATTTTATTTCATCGCTTGAGACTCGCTTACAATTAGGTTAACTAAAAAATTAATTACACGTAAATAATAGTTTGCACATAAATCCGAATGAAAACAGTAGAAAAATCTATGTTTAGTGGTTGTAGCAACATTAAGCTTTCAGCTTGGCTATGGTTTCGTTGCAGTTTTAAAGTATCACACGCCGCTATAAAAAGCTTGGGATTATGCCACTAAGCGATAAGTAACGAAAAATCACATTCGATTCAAATTAAGCCCAATACTCAAAGCACATATACACTCGCCATAATGGATTGGGATCAGTTTGACTTGATCTTGCGTTTGAGAGTAAAGTAAGCCAAAACCTTGAACAGCGTGATTTGGCCTAAAATCATCATGATATTATAGCCGTAGTGTCCCTGCTCCATTCCAAATTGTTGCAAAACGGTTACCGCGTATCTGAAGTGGGTTTAATGAGAATGTAATTGTTTATTGTTTGACAGCTTTTTTTGCTCAAAAACTTACTTAAAGTGGCAGTAGAATTCTGAGTCGGGGCAGTTCAATTGCCCCCGATTATTTCCATATAAAGAAACTACCATATTTTCCAGGGCATATCGCATTGGAGAAAGATATGAGATAAAACGCATGGCGGCCGGAATGTGATTCAATAAAATGAGGAATCCGGAGAACATAAGCATAAAACAGGTCGAAACAGCACCAATGAATGTCCCATTCTGAAAAAGAGTATTTTTTGTATAAGTCATTTTGTGAATTTAATTTTTAAACTTTTGCATGTTTTCTTACCACCGGGTTTAGTACGGTGCCGAGAAATACTCCTAGACCATCTGCACAAAAGGTTACAACAACAGCAGTTAGCAAGTATTTCACAAATCGGTCCATTTCCACTGGTTGTTCGGTCAACAAATAGCCAATTGTAATATAGACCGTTGAAAATATGATCTGAAAGAATTAACAATTTTAATGAATTCTTTATTATTTTAGTATAACAGGTAGTCGAGTTTGCCGACTATTCATATTATACCCGGTACTCATCACTTCCACCCACAATTTAACTGACCTTTAAAGTTTAAACATTAACGGTATGGATTCTCAGCAACAAATTTTTGTTGCTTACTTTTGCGCTTGGGCAAATCAACAACAAAAAAAAACTACGACCATATTACCAATTTAGTAAGTAAGCAGACTAAAAAGTCTATACATTATGCTTGGGTGTACATTAGTTATTGAAACAGAAAAAACGAATTTTCCAAAAACATTATCGAACTTGCGCTAAAACCAGATTTCTGTTTTTACTTTAAAGATTTCTTTAAAGTATAGTACTAGCGCTACCGAATTTCGCGATTTGTAGGGTGGAAGCGGGCGTGACAAAATTTTTAGACAAACTTGAAATTTGAAACTAAACAAACTGACTGCGTGGGCATTGTAAGAGTCTCCATGCCAAATCCTTTAGCTCTATCTCTTATAGTCTCTATGAACGCGTGGTTCATACGGTAAACAGACGTGGCTTTATCGACTCGGCTGTTGATGCTGATCAAGAATATATATACTTTATGAGGTCGGAGATAATGCCTTTTCTATGTTTCATACATTCACACGACTACAATATATCCTTGTACTCTACAAGTACCGGGTATTAAAATCAAAGGAAGAAACGTTTTTCAGCCTAACTTGTAACTGAAAACTACATATATTATGAAAATCGATATAAACAAGATTTTATTTCATTTTAAGATAAAACATTTTTTATGTTTTACAACAAAAAAAAAAAAAAAACAAAAAAAAACAACACAATAACAAAAGCGTGAGCCAAACTAAATATTTGAACAATTTTTAACAATATTTTTTAACTTACATGAACTGGCGTGGCGGTAATAATTGTGGCAATGTAGTAAGTTCGAAGCTTGTACCAATTATTAAACGTTTCTTTTTTGATAATTTCGATTTCGGAAGGATCTATGAAAGACAGACTAAGTTAAGGAGTATGCAATGTAAAAAATGCATTTATTATATTTACACCGCAAAATTCCAGGCATTATGGTGGTATACCAAAGATAAACACAATGGATCATAATCATGCCCACGTTGGAGATTTGTTTACTGGCATTGCTGCCAGAATCGCCGAAAAAAAGGCCAATTAGAATAGCGCAGGTAATGTGAATGCCAAGTTTAAGATAGGTTAGAGTCTGTAAAAACAATTAGGGAATTAATTTTGTTAAAAGGACATATTTTCTTCAAATAAGTTACCCAATCCCGGAAGAATTGCAAATGACATCGACCGATCAGTAACCAAAGTCGCATATATTCCGTTGGAGGATACGTGTGCCTAGTGAGCTCTTTGGATGATTCGATTTTCTGGATCTCGACCTTCTGCACCTGGCTCTGATCCTGTCCCGGTGACTGGGACTCGTTGAACTTGGCCACTTGGGACTCGCTTGGCATTTCAGTATCCTCATCCTGCATTAATTGTTGGTCATATCGCCACCGAGTGTCCTTGGCACTTTCCGCCAAGGCTTCCGTGTGGTCACCATAGTCACCGTTAACGCATTCCAGAACTGAAACGATTGATGAAGTTTAAATGTGCCTAAGAGAGTTGGGCCTCAAAACAGAATTGCCGAGAAATCAGAAAATTTTAACGTAAGATCCAATTACTATCAATTAGTTAATAATAAATTATTCAATATCAATTAATGTAGTAGATTTTTTAATTACTGTTTCAAACTATTTCGAAAAAATGATCATGTTCCCCACTAAAGATAATGCGACTTGATTTTGTTTCGTACGTGATAGTAGCAATAATAATCAATACGGCATAAGGCAGTGGAAATTTTGATGTGTTAATTGGTTGAAAAGGGAGAGGTTTCAACTCACGGAAGTCGGCAGGATTGTGGTACGGAGGGCACTCCATGCCGATGCCACTGAGAAACCTGACTGTGTTCTGGGGCGTGCCCTGGTAGGTGCATTGACCGGCACTCAACACGTAGATGAGGTTGAAGAGATTGTAGATGTTGGTCGACGGTTGGTGGATGGTGCACACAATCGTACGCCCCTCATTAGCCAGGCCACGGAGCAGCTGGATGGTGTCGAAGGAGGAGGAGCTGTCCAGGCCTCTGTGCGAGATCAGAGATAAAAAGAAGATCAGATCACTGCGGTTCAAGGACATATACGACTGTCAATTTAACAGCCCCAATAACAGGTTTGTTAGTGTTTTAATTCCCAAAGAATCCCGATCCTCTCACTCACGTTGTGGGCTCATCTAAAAATAGCACTGCTGGATTGTCTATCAACTCCAGGGCGATGGACAGGCGCTTCTTCTGGCCGCCACTCAGGTTGGAGCACTTTGTCTGCCGCGCCTTTGTTAGCTTCAGGGAGTTCAGGAGGTAGTCGATCTGTAAGCCACACGGAAATTAGTAGTTTTACTTTGCAATGGTTTCTTAGGAAAAAAGTTTTCAAAAATTCAATGGATCTAAAGGAAACCTGTTTTGTTTTTAAATGAAGTTTTTTTTTTTTATAAAATTCTCGAAAAATTATTTGTAGAATGTAAAGTTTAGGTTCTATTTTAATTTTTAACTGTGCTTTTATTAAATTTTTTGTTGAATTTAGCAAGTACTATTTACTTTGTATATACGTGAAAAGTGTGAAGAAATTATTATTTCAATACATAAATTAGTTTTTCCTGGGGTAATCTATTATTATAAGCTTATTAAAATAAATATAGCATTCATAGAAGGTAATCATTGTACTCACAAGACTGCGTTTATCCTTCAGGCTGACACATTTGTTCGATATTTTAAGTGTTGCCGCCATAAGCATCGTCTCCTCTACGGTGAAATAAGGGAAAAAGTGATCGTCCTGCATAATATATCCGCACAGTTTTCGGGCCTTTCCGATTTCTATTTTTCCACTAACTCCACTCTTCGTGAGGCCCGTGAGGATGTTCATCAGACTAGATTTGCCGGCCCCCGAAGGGCCCATTATGGCGGTGAGTTCACCGGATTTGAAGGTTCCTGTTATACCCTTCAGCACCTTTTTTTTCTCTGCAAGTAACGATAAATACAAATATCATTTAAGTATAAAAAAATACACACATTCAGTAATTTTTCTTTATCATATATGTACATAAAAATTATTGAAACAAGAGATAGAAAAATGCTCGCATTTTTATCTTATCCATATCCAAACAGAGCCTGCTATCACTTCCACTAATGATGAGATAATTAATAATTCTGGAAAAATTATGCGCAAAAAGATATCTTTTCACTCGGGCATGACCTCATTGTGTATGGTTTATGATGCAGAGCGCCTTTAATTTTAATGTTCTAACTAAAGCTTAATCGTCTTGCTTAACCTTCCTCCAATAGCAGTAATTGCGCACGCGCAGCTCAATTAAGCTGCATGCATTAAGGTCAACAGGTTAACTCCGTAGACAGCGAAACCCCAATTAAATTTGCAAACGCCGTAAACCAGAAGTGTTTTAAAATTCGGTTGGGTCAGTTTATATTAAGATTTCATAAGCAGGCTGAGATAGTGCCCCGAATTACGCGCACTTTTTAGATTTTTTTCATTACAGATAACACCCTGATCCCTGATTATTAGAATGTATATCACCTGTGATCCCAGGGTCTTTTCTTCCGGTAAAGCTTTTGCGTTTTGATAGTCTATTTGCAGCAGATAGTAAAGTTATTTTTAGAGCGGGAAAAATTACTTTCAGACAAAATACATTTTTTATACCCATTTGGTGTATAATACATTTGGTTATTTACGTTTACTCAAATGCACAAACAGTTTTTTGTTTGTTGGCAATATTTTGGCTTTACAAGGTTTGTATTCTTACCATTTTTGGGCGCGTTAACTTGGTAAACAAGATCTTCGAAGTGAATATCGATGCCGTAGACGTTTTTCAACAATTTGCTGCTATCCATGTTGTGATTATTTGAATTATTTCGCTTGTTTACAAACCCGAATATTTATTTGGTCGCTTTATTGAAGTTTATAAGCTTTGCTGGCTTGCTTGGCACATTATTTACTTATTTCCAGCTCGATGAGGACTTTAACATTTTAAAACAAACAACAATGAATTATGGTTACGCTTTGTGGGGTCAAAAGTGCAATTTGTGGCTGATGGAATCGAGATTATATCACCAGCTTGCAAAAGTAAAAGACTTATGGCGACAATTAGAGCGCGACTTGAATTGCTAACCTCAAGTTCGTGAACTTTCGCAACGGAAGCCGAAAACTGACGAGCCGAAGAAGGATTGCGACGAAAACTTAAAGTCTTGTTTAAAGTTTAAACTATTCTTCGAGGGTCTCCCTGAGTTGAGTTCCGCGCATGCGCTACCGCTCGCAGCCAGCTGATACCTGCGGAAGAAGTTGGCGATCACCAGCACGTTGTAGCCTCTGCTTCTGCCTCTGCCTCTGCCGCTGCCTCAGCTACAGTAGGCGTCACTGCTTCCGTCGTTGGAGAAAAACGCAATCAACAATACTGGGGCTACAAAAACAAATTATAACAAGGCAAAGAGCCAGCACATTCTCATATAAAATATAAAATAATTTGGCAATGCAAATCGCGTTGGAAGTCAACAATCGAGTCGCCAGAGTGGCGTTAAATTTCAAGTTTAACTTGAGCCGCCCGTCGCCTGTTACTCGTATTTAATTTTGGGCGCAGAACGACAGACAAATTGTTATTTGAATTTATGAGTCAGCCCTACTAGCAACGGCTCACCTACCTACAAAGCGGCTATAAAGTGTACAAACAAAATATTAAACCCTAAAGCAAAGTTATCAAACGGCCTTGCCAAAGAACCAGAACATTAAACTGCAAAATATTGTTTACACAAAGAAATAGTCTTTAAATTGATGTGTGAAATACCATTCTGGTGAAGTGTTGAGAGGGGAAAGTGGAAGCTACCATACATATTTTGTTAAGAACTTTTGCTACTCTGTGGAAAAAATTAGCTGCTTATTTAATCAAACTTCCGCAAGTAAACGAATTTGCCATGTGACACGTATTTGCCTTTAAGACAAACTACATCAACGTGACTGTCAGTTGTTATAATCGTACAGCTGCTTAACATATTAATTTAAGCCCTTTAACGACTAGTCTTAGACCTGAATTGGAAAAATAGTCTCTATCCTCCACACACAAAAACCCATATACCCCACAACTCTCATGGGCAATTTACCGCAAAATGCCTCGAGAATAATAGCAGCTCCGCTCTCGGAGGTAGACCGATTTGCGATCAGAAGCAAGAATTGCCAAAAAGCTTTTCATGTTTTGATTCGGTCATTGCAAGTTGGAACATCGTCGAACAGAGGCAAGAGTTGCAATATGAAAAATAATGTAAATGACCACAATCCGCTAAAGAAAAAAACGTGTTGAGTGCGGCTTGTCTACGCGGTAGACAAAAAATAGAGAACGTTGCGGCGGTCAGTGCCCATAATCAAAAGAACAGAGCAACAACACAGCTGACAACGACACCTGCCTAAGCTGCGCTGCGGCACTTAATTGTCGAACAGTCGGTCGCGCTGTTTACTGATGCAGCGGCACTCGAAAAAAGTGAACTGAAGTTTTCGAAATAGTGTGAGGGAGAGGAGGAAAAGAATCACAGTAATCACTTGGAAATGGAACAAAATGAAGTAGCCTTTTCTTAATTTTTCTTTTTTTATGAATTTGCATTACACTTTATTTAATATTTTATTTTAACTTAGTTAGACAATTTTAAATGTTGTGTGAGTTTCATAAAAAGGAATTTAGATCTGCAATAAATGCAGAGCATATAATTTATATGCACAACTTTCCTAAATTGAGGTAAAAATGTAAAGGTTTTCTAAGGGGAATGGTGTCGAAACGTCATAATAATGAATTAGAGAGTTTACAAAAAAATGATTTACATTTATTGTACTTTTAAACTGTCTATATTAACTGTCGAGATCCCACTGTACACGGCCGGTGGCTCTGAATTCGTCTCAGTTATCGCGACTTGTGCAATGAAATTTCTTTGAATGGCCAGAGCCTGGCTCAGATTGAGACCGAGTGGCTTTAGAATTTTATTACGTGACCGTTAAATTAATGGCACAAGATTTTGTACTCGGCTTATATTGTACGAAATCAAGAGAACCTTCGGAACGTAAACAAGTGGGATGAAAACAATACGCACGGAAGCGGGCCGCCCATCCCAGGCGAAAAAATATTTTATATATTAAGTGAGGTTATCATTATTATACGCCGCCACCAAACGGCCAACACGACTGGCCGGAGCTCCCATGGTTATCTTTTCATTTCGAAAAATAATGTCAATTAAGTGGTGCTACCTTCGTATTCTTGCTGACCCGCAGGTTCGATAAAATTACAAATTCAGTCGACTATCGGACAGGCAGCAATAACAGATAATAAATAATAATAATAAAAGCACCAACAAAACAGCAGGTCGACTTGCACACACATCTACATGTGTGTCTTGGGAAGGCAAACACTTGCGCTCTGAAACTCTGGAATGTCACAAGCTATCAATTAAAATAAATTGTAATAACATTGCCTTTGACTTTTCCACATTTGAATTGAGTCACTCGGAGTGAATCCCTCCCAGGAATTATTTTTATCAAAGCTATATATTGTTTATTATTTTAATAAATCTTGGAATAATTTAGTTGATCAAGAGCAGGACTCTATCAGGAAGGGACTCTACACAGCTCAAGTCGTATTAATACCAGGTATATAAGTAATCAGGTATATCAATACCGGTTATCAACTCTTAATTGGTTCATTTGTCTAATTGGTTTTCTATTGCAACTTAATAGGGTTAATAATAATAACATGTTATAAATGGTTGCAAAATACATATAATAGAAAAAAGAACTCCTATCGTAGTTTTTTGCAAGAAATTTTTAGCATTTTCAGTCTATTTGCGGCCATGATCGCACTTGGACCCCAGTGAAAATAAACAGATGCCGGATCGTAATTCATTCTAATCTAAGTACTTATTGCATAAACAAAGCATATTGTATAAACAATCCAAAAGTCTGCTTGGCACATCAATCGACAGATCGTTCAAACACAAAGACGGGAAAGCAAAAGTTCCTGAACCTGAGGCACGTGTGAGTGATCGGTCTGGCTATGTGATGTTGCGGGAAATAAAAAAAATTTAATAATCGCATAACCTGATGCCATAACCAGCATTTGAATTCAATTACAGCCAGGTTAGATAACTCTGCGAGCAATTATTCTAATCCATTCATGCCGCAGTCTCGGCATACTGTTTACACTAAGAAGACGGCGAGACTTTGGGAAAGGTGTCAAGTTTTTCATCGATTCTGTCAGCAATGTTTCGCAACAGTTTTTCAAAGCTTGCAAATATTTCGAGGCATGGGCAATGAACCCTGTTGCAATGCAATGGGTAGCAATATTTACTGTATTCAGGTAATTCCAACACTTTAAACAAGTTTTTCCGTGAATATGCCAAGTTATCTTAATACTTGGGAGGTTGGAAGTAGGTCTTGCGATTAATTTTTCAAGTCATTATTGGAACCTATTGTCTAAAGATCGTAAGGAGCCCTTAATAGGGGACGCGCAAAAACGCCAGCTGCCCCACTTAGATAAATCTTTTGGAAAAAGAAAAAAGACTTTTATTTCCTAGAAGAGATAAGAGCGTTACATTTTACACAATACTGGACAATTGCTCAATTGACTTGTAAGACGACTGAGTGTCTCTCATTCAAACTTTTATTATCCGCAAATAGAATTCTCCTGTCACCCAGCTAGATCTTGTGCGTTTAAAATACAGACCAGAGATATATAACGTCTCAAGTGGAGGCAAGGGTAGACGAAATCAAATTACGGCTTCATGGTCGGCCCGTGATCATCTATTCGCCGCTGATTACAGCAATCCAAGCCCCAAGGCCTCCCGCACTGAAGCGCCTAAACTCAGATCGTTTTCGGTTCATGGCTGGTTGTTTTTAATTAGCATAGATTTCAATTTCCACTTCCTTAGGGCAATTGTACTCACGCCGATAAGTCGTCTGTTTTGTCCTAATAGATGATAAGAAGGGTCAGATTTTCGCACAGCCGCACCCTTACGCACCCTACGTATCATGTGGACACTGAGAGAAACACTTGTTATTTTTAATAATATAGGTGGTCTAATACACGTTTTTTAGCCTAGAATGGTTTGACTTGTTTCAATAGAAACAGATAAAACACATCTACAAAAAGTGCAAAGGTAATATAAGATTCAACTTCTATTTTTGTATTACCTCCAAATAGCAATTTACTAATGTTTTTGTTTTTGGTAGAACAATCAAGCTAGTTATCATCTTGGGGTCTGGTGTTTTGAACTGTAGGTCAAATGGTTGTCTTTGTTTGCACTCGTGTTTAGATTGGGGCGCGAACTTGGTGGCTCATGCAAAGCGACGGGTATTGCATTACAAAATGGTACTTTTCCACACACTCTTTCCACACGCCCACGCCACCCACTGTAGCACCCACCCAGTAGAGCAGGCCGGTCAGGCTGCCCCATATTCTGCGGTGACAATGACAGTGGTTCTGATAGTGGTGGTTAGGGGGTGGTGGGGCTTGGGGTGTTCGTGTGGTTGGGGTGCGGGTTCCATCTTGGCATTGGTTTTGGTCATGTCCGGGCCATGAGATCATCATCGCAATTTGGCAGGGCATAATCGCTGACTAATAAAATGCAAATAAATACTCCAGTTTATTTGATCAAGGCGCCCAAGGAATGGCCGCAAAGCACCAATTTTTTCGGCGCACAGGGCGTATGGTAGATGGATGGCTGGGTTCTAGGTGAGATGTTCAATACTTTCCATCCGACATATATCTACATTGCCATACTGTGATCAACGAGCAACAACGGAGAACAAATAGCTCTATGTGTGCGTCCGTGTTCTATTTTCTGTATGAACCCATTTCAATAAGAACAGACCCAGAAACCGAAACGAGGGCCCATGAATAGGAGCAGAGTGAGCCAAAAATTTGAAAATAAAAGTGGAAATAGAACACAGCTGGAAATTAAATCAAATCATCAAAATACAATTCGTTTCGAAAATTGCTTTGGTCTTCGTTTCGTTTTCGCTTTCCTTTCCGAATTCCGAGTTCAATATCAGACCATGTTATACATTTTTTGCATGTGATTTCAATTGTTGGTTGATTTTATTCATTTTTCTTAATTTTTAGTGTTTTAGCTGACTCACACAGCCCGCACTTGATGGTGAAAGAATATTGTGCGATCGTAAAATTGTATAATTCAAACACTGTGTGTGTTTTTCCTTTGCTATTTTTTGGTGTTTTCACACGCAAAACATTAGAAACAAAAATAACACAGATGGCTTTTAATTTTTTCCGCGAAAAAATTATGGTTTATTTATAATTTCCGAGAATGTTTCCGAGATAGACTTTTGAATTGTAACACGCGCTGCGACCAAGAACCAAAAAAGCATCTGTATATACCGACCAAGTATTAATTTTTGTGTATATTCTTTTTGGCTGGGACGTGGTAAAAACGCTTCCGAATCGCTTCGGAATCGGCGCGAGACTGAGGCGACTTTCAGGCAGCCACTGGCCAAGTACAACGCAGCCCGCTCGAATAGTTTAGTTTTTTAAAGCGCTTGCCGCTGTCAGCGTAGATATTCACAATACCCTTGCAGAGAGTATTCTAATTTAGTGAAAAATTGTGACACGCAATTAAGGATATATTGTATACACTATATGTAATATGTGTATACATATGTATATGTATGTTCTGAAATCGGTAAATGGACTTTTGTGTGTTTCTAGTATCTCAGTTTAAGAGTAAAGTATTAATGTATTATATGCCTCTAGAAATTGACTCTAGATAAGCCCAGTATAAACGTAAATTTAAACGGGATGGGTCGGCTGTATCTCATAGCTCTTATATCCTATTTACGTTTTAAATGCCATTACTGTTGTATTTTTGCATATAGAGTTTTGACTTTCTTTGGCAAAGAAGGAACCTGGTCAGTTTCAGAAATTTCTATAAGGATTAGCCGACTTATCCTATAGAATCTAAAAATAGAAACTCTCATGTTAAACTTAAATAAAGGGGTATATTTAAAGGGTATTTAAGCTTCGACACATCGCATAGCAGAGAGCGGAGAGCGCTGGGCCTACTGTACCTAATTTTATACTAATATAGTCCTCTTCGGAGATTCCTCTCAACGATGCCTACTATACATACGTTTGTATGTTTATTGTGAAAGATTTATGGGGGAATCTTTTATCTGCTCAGAATTTACTCAGCTTTGCATTATGCTTATCAAAGTCGTTTCCCACCATGTTATTTTCTCTTTTTAAAATAAGTAAATAATTATTTAGGTAAAGGACTTGAAGACGTTACTTGAAGAGCTAATGAATTTCGTATATCGTATTTCGTATTTAAGGTCAATCCCGAGAAGATCTTGGGAGCTTTCAGTATATATATTCTGTGGGTCAATGTGGATTTTTAAAATTAGACGTTACTTGAATCAGAAACATGTATGTATATTATGGTATAATACAGGTTTGCCTTTTTCAATTGACCCTTTGTAGTTCTCGGCAATAAGGGTCTACCTTTATCGGGCTGTGAAATAAATCAACCATTATACCAAGTTTCTTTGTAAATTGCAAGTTGTCTAATTGCTTGTTAATAAAATAATTCTCTAATTATCATTTCAGTTTTACAAAGCTATATGATCGAAGTCTACTGTAGTGACGACTCATAACTTGGTTAAATGGACTGACATTTTCTCATTTCCATCGAACAGGGATTTATAGGAGTCGATAATATACAAAAAGTAACTTTTTCGTGACCGGACTTGATGCAATTCAGTTTAATTATTGCACCTTAAATTAGTAGTGCTTCAAATTACTCACGAGAACTAATGTATTTTATAAACAAAATGATTTTTGTTTTTGAATCTATTTTTATTAGAACGTTTAGTTGAGCTTCCCTTTCCATAAGCTCTTTAATTAGTGATTCCTATCTGTCCAAAATACCGAGTTAGTAATTTTGATATATGATACTATTTTCGTGGTGCCAGCTCTGGGGAGTACAGTTATTTGCACTTCAATAATAATGGAATTTAATATGTACATAGGGACAGATATGCGTGATAGTTGATTGTTTTGGCGTGTGATTACGATGCCTTTAATTATACAGTGGGTTTCATGTTCAAAAATAGTAATTAGGTTCAAAAAATTAGGAGATTTATTAAATTGATTTCTCAAAACCAATTTGATATCTTTATTATAAAAAATTTTAAAACTTATAAAGTATATTATTTTTAATATATTTTTAAGACTCTCAGACGGGAGAGTATAAAAACAAATAAAATAATGCTTTATTAATATATTGTTATACGCATTATGATAAATACCCATTGTGGCATTCCATTTCGGTGATAAGAAATGTTGATTAATAGCTCAAGTCCCATCAGAATATAACAAATTTATCCATTTCAGTCTCAATAGAACGGGTTTCTCTGGTTTCAAGCTCTCGAAAGTTCAAACTTGGCCAATATGAGTGTAAACCTGTTGCGGTTTTTAAAGACAATAAAATTATTGTAACCGTGTCTGTCTCCGTCTAGACCCTAATTTTTAGAGGAGTGTTGTCAATTCAAAATAATCTTTTTTGGTCTTAATCTTATAATCTAACTCGTTACTCATCGGGCTCAGGAAAGTTATATATTCCTGATTAGGATATTGCACTTTATTTTGATCAGCACCAATAGTATTTCTCCATAAGACATAAAGTAACAATTATGTGCTATTAGACAAATCTAGAGACCTATGGAGGGGCGCTGGAGAACGCTTAAAAGAAAGTCACTATTTCAAGCTTTTTAATTTTTTAAGTTTATCGAGTATAAAATATTTGTTTATCAAATATTGTTTTTGAGTTTTATAAGTCATGCTTTTGATACTCGCACTATCCGATTCCCAGCCTGTTTCGATCGTGTTCCAGTGATTGTGATCGCGTTTGACATTGACATTGAAATCGAACATCGTACGCAGTGGTCGGCCAATAAAAACACGCAATCAAAGCGAAGACAGCAGCAATCGTAAGCCGTCGTCTCCCCCCTTTACGGAATTGTAGAGGCGACAACAACCGGCTGGCCTTCTTGGCCCAAAAAAAAAAATAAATAAATACAAGCCAGCACCGAAATCCAACAGCAAAGCATAAAAAACTAGCTGCTTAAAAGTGTTGGGAATGCCGCCGACCCCGTCAAGATCCCCTAGCTCCTTCCCCCTTTTAACTACTATTAATTGGGGTGTACTAAGGCGCTATGGAGGGGCGAAGCGGGGAATGACACGGTTGACTGAACTCACACACCTTAGATAAATTCATTCAACTGCAGTCTATTAACTCCAACGATATTAGGATGGCATTAAATGGCCCGAAAGTAATGCATAAGGTTAATCCAGATAGTGAATAATAAAAAATATAAATTATATTTTTTATTTGAAGCGCTAACTAGAAACTGAATGTCCTTAAATCTCGGAGTTTACGGCATCAAAAAATAAATAAAGTTCAAAAATATAAATTAACAAGAAAAGAAAGCTAACATCGGAGCCGAAGTTGATATACCCTTTCAGTTAATCTCGGATACATATCGCAAACATCGGATATAGTTGGCCAATCCTTATGATAATATCTTAATAAAACCTATTTATTACAATACAAAATCAAAAAATAATCCCAAGCTTCTATATTCATAAATACCAATCGTTAAGTTAGATGGCATCTACACGATATAGTCTGCCGATCGTTATGAACTTTTTACGTATAAGTTTACGTACAAACAGACGGACATGCTCATATCAACTCAGGAAGTGATCCTGATCAAGAATATAAAAAACAACTTTTTGGGCTGAAGCTACAGAAATATACCAAAAATTTAGGCCGGCTTTAATTGCGTTCGTCGTATAAGAGTCATGCTAAATCTTACCATATAGCTCTATCTGTTATAGTATCTGAGGTCCACGTGTTGATACACTCATGACAGAGAGATAAGGTAAGGTATAAAGGTATATCGATAAGGTATATCGACTCGGCTGATGCTCATCAAGAACTTATCCACTTTCTGAGGTCATGATTCCTTCGTCATGATACATACATTAACACGAATACAGTATACTTTTTACTCTTGGATTACCGCGTATGCAAATACCATAAGTTTTACAAAATGTTATTGAACAATGCTATGTAATAATTGAGAAGCCATTTATTCAATCTGCATTGAACCGTTTCGCATTAAATCATTCTATAATAAAAAAGAGAACGTTTAACTATTTTTTCAGTCCCGTCGATCAGGAAATGTAGTATCTGCTAATCATTGGATAATCATCTGATTTAATTGAATCAAAAGTGTCAACGAATTCATAACTTAACATGTCCTATAGATATGACACAAAATACGGATATCTGAAACCGGTTTGAATAAAATTGACTTTTGATTGGTAGACTGTTGTCATATTTTATAGGCCAAGATTCCGTTAATTGCTTTCTTTGACACTTTATTTGTATGATTTCTACATTCCTCTTACAGTACAACAATTATCTCATTAGTGATACCAACGAAGATGGAATAAACCAAGCCAAATGAAAAACGGGACTGCTCCATGAATCCGTAATTGCAACAAATTTTCAACTGCAAGTCAGGTACCAACATCTTATGACGTTACAGTTGTAAATGAAAACAGTACTTACTGAATATATATTTGCATGTAAGTCACGACCACCGGGTAGTTTTTGTGAATGAAAATAAAGTAGTATCGAAAAGTAGTGCTCTCACCTTTGTTTTTTCCCACTTCAGGGTGATAGGAGAGATCCTCGAATTTTATGCTGATGGAACAGGATTCCACGGTATTTGGCATCTTCACGCTATCCAGTTCCTTAGCACGCATTCATTTTAATAAAATATTGAATTTTTAATAGGTTAAAAACACAAGCCACTTAAATATGATATTTAATCTATTTATCTATCAGTTTACTCTGTAAACATCGCAGCTCTTTTGACTTATAAAAAATGCTAGTGGTGAGGTATCGAATTTTATCATACCGTCTCTCAAAAGAGGAACTTAAAGTAAATCTCAACAGAACAATATAAGATTCCTACCCGGATATTATAATAAATTGATACATGTGCACAATCCGATCACTGTCATTGGTTAATGATTATTCGTGACTTAATGGAAATTCTGATAACAGGAAAAATGTATTTACTTAGGTAAATTTTTCAACGATCGCTCCAGGGGCTATTTTAATCTCTGACCCTATAATGTTTATTTTTATTTAAATTTTATTTTATTTCATTATTATTTAAAACAGGATACGTTTCTGTCAGACACGTAGCTGGAATCCCTAATTTTTTATACTCGCATTTAAATAAATTGTATCTTCCAGGATCCGTCAACTATAACTCACAATTAACTAAACTTTGAACCTTCTTTCAGATGTTTTCTGGGTTAAATCTCCAATTTTCGGAAATATATGCTTGGATAGCAATTTCTACAGGACTTGAATCTGAATATCCAAAAACTATCC